CGCGGGGAGCCCTCGATCTGCGCCCTGCCATTCCACCGATCGATATATCGTCATGCATCGGCGCCGGTGCGGCCCGAGGACCCGCCTGAAAAAGGAACGGGTCGAGGTGCGCAATGAGTTTCTCGCCTTGAGCACGGACGGCAAGAAAGCCTGGCTCAAGAAATGGCTGAAGACAGGCTTGTTCCTCCTCCCCCCTCGCCCTTCGTCGTCGTCGTCGTCGTCCTCCTCCTCCTCCTCCTCCTCCTTCTCCTTCGCCTCCGTTGTGCAGCTTTCATCAAAATCCAAGCTTAGAGGTGACTTTCAGTGGTGCGACTACTACAAGCGCCAAGTGGAGCGCACCACCGAGCTGGAAGGGATGAGGGGCAGCTGGTGGGACGAGGACCAGATGTTGGTGCACTTTGGCTGGACGGAGGCCACCAAGGATACGCCCACTGGCCAGAGGAGCCTGTCTTTGTTCTTCGTTCACTCCCTATACAGACATATCTGTACAGATATGTCTGTATAGACATCTCTGTGCAGTCCGTGTGTGTAGATGTATAGGTATATATGTGCATCTGCAAGCACAACGTTGTACTTGCAGATACACATATATACCTACACATATACACACACGGGCGTCACACATACATACATACATACATACATACATCCATACATACATATACACATACATACATACATACATGCATGCATACATACATACATACATACACACATACATGCATGCATGCATGCATGCATGCATACATGCGCACGCATGCACATACATACACACATAGATACATGCATACATACATACATACGTACATATATATAAAACTACATGTGCATATACATGTACATATACATACATAGAAATTCATACATACACGCAAAGATATATGCATACATACATAAATACATGCATACACGCACCTATGATGACGTATAGATGCATTTACATACGTGCATACAGGCATACATACTTGTATGCATGAATGTATGCATGCGTGCATACACTTATGCATGCATGCGTACATGCAGTCTATATCCGTATATATGCATGTATGTATCTTGGAATCACATGTCCACTTGCGCTGTACAGACCAGCGGGCATCAACGAACTGAGGAATATACTAATCAAGTATTAAACATATATGCATGCGTGCGTGCATGCATGCATACGTGCGTGCATGCATGCACACATTCATCTATACCATGGCACTCCCAAGGGCTTGGATGAAGACGCAGAATGTGATGAAGACGTGCAAGGCGATCAAGGGATTCACTTCGGTGGAGCGGGATGGGGTAGCATTTCTGACAGGCATCCTCGTTGCATGCTCCTTGGTTTTGAACTGTATCCTGAGGTCCAGGATGGCCATGGCGAGACATGGTGGTGGCACAGGTGCTTAGAGGATGTTATCTTCGGCCCACTCGGGGCCGTGCTTGATTGAAAGAGGGGCGCAGGTGGACTCGCAGACTGGTGAAGCTATTTATCGCCGCTTGGAGCGCTATGATGACTACCAGAAGGCAACTTTATCATGCTTCTTGCTTGTTAGACGGCGCATTCGATGGGGGCTTAGGAGGAGGAGGGATGATCAGGAGGAGGATGAGCACTATGACGATCTTAAGGGATGACAGAGACGAGGAGGGGTGGTATGGTAGGACGGAGAGGGATACTGTGTAGGAGAGGGGGGGTACGATGGTAGAGGGAATGGGGGGATACTGAGAAGGGGTAGGGATAAGGAGATGGTGACATGAATGATGAGTTCGACGATCCTCGAGCCGCTCCACCGCTTTGCTTGGCAGGCGAAGGAGAAGAGCTTGGAGACAGTGTTTTCGGGCAACACCACTGCCATCGACGAGGCTCGCGCTGCGAAGGGCATTGCGCCCGCCCAGCAGCGGCAGGACGTACGTCGTCGTCGCCGCAGTATGTATACATACTGCGGCGAATGTATGTATACATATATGTATGTATGTATGTATGTATGTATGTATGTATGGATGTATGTATATATGCACGTATGTGTATTGCGAGTCACATTTAAGTGGGTGCGAGTGTAATCGAGATCGTCGTCGTCGTCGTCGTCGTCGTCGCCGTCGTCGTCGCCGCCGTCGTCGTCGTCGTCGTCGTCGTCGTCGTCGTCGCCGTCGTCGTCGTCGTCGTCGTCGTCGTCGTCGTTGCACTCGTCATCCTCGTTCGGGATCGGGGTCCGACTCATCGATGGGTCGGACCCCGATCGACCGATCGATTCTATATAGAATCGATCGATTCTATATAAAATCGATCGGTTCTATATAGGAGATCAGGGGACTGAGAGGGAGAGGGATAACGCTCGCGGACCTCCCAGGAGGCATCGGACTCGAGCTGCTATTCGTCTGACGATGAAGATGATGACAGTGCGTCTGAGAGTGCTGGACCTGGCGACCGCACTGGCCCTTCGAGTGCGCGGGGTTCCTCGAGTGCCGCTGCGACCGATGTCGGAGGCGACTATAACGTGATCTTCGGCCAGGTCGCGAGCCTTGCTGCTGTCTTCAGCGGGCTCCAGGCACCCATGGGCTAGCCAGCGCGCTCGAGACGTCGCGTGCGCCTCCCCCTGGGAGGATCGAGCGCCGCCGTAGGGCGAGGAGCAAGGTATAGAGAGTGATGGGATCAGTGAGCACGCGCTCGCGCCCCAAGGGCGCCGCTGATAAGAAAAAAACACGCCATCCCAGGCAAAGAACGACCCGCGGTTCTCCCCCTTCGCGGCCAAAGTCCACGAGTCCCAGCTGATCCTCGAGGAGCTGAAGGATGAGTTGACTCAGTGCCTGCAGGGGTCCAGGGCATAGGACTGCAGGAGGCTAGATGCTGATGACGATGGTGAGGAGGAGGAGGAGATGGAGGAGGAGATGGAGGAGGAGGATGAGGAGGAGGAGGAGGAGGAGGAGGAGGAGGATCACCCCAATGCGTGTAGTCAGGACCCTGAGCAGGGGGAGGAGGAGGAGGAGGAGGACGTCGGTGGAGGGGTCGAGGTGCTAGCCCAGCTGGCCCAGCAACTGGCAGATCGTCCGCAGTCGTCGTGGCTCCTCCTCCTCATCCTCCTCCTCATCAGGCCTGCAAATCGTGAGGAAGGAGTTCAGGCAGCATCGCTTCTTGGGGCATCGCTTCCTCCCCCGCCCCCTCATCGCTCTCCTAGGTCTGCGACGGAGCAGATCAACATGAAGCACGTGAAAGATAAGCTCGACGAGGCCAGCGTTGTTAGGAGGAGAGGGGGGTGAGCAGGAGAAGGCCGGATGATGAGCAGGAGAAGGCCAGATGATGAGGATGATGAGCAGGAGAAGGCACGACTATGATGCGATATTTAACGCGCAAAAGGGGGCGTGGCAAAACGGGGGGGGGGTCTTGGGCCACTCGAGGAGGAGGAGGAAGAGGGGGAGGAGGAGGAGGGGGATGAGGAGGAGGAGGAGGAGGAGGAAGAGGAGGAGGACAAGGACGAGGAGGGGGAGCAGGAGAACGAGGAGGAGGAGGAGGAAGAGGAGGAGGGGGAAGAGGAGGAGGAGGGGGCTCCAGCCCCGTCCAGAGGCCATGAAGACCTGGAACGTGATCAAGCCCGTGATGGACACCATGAGCAAGGCCCACCAGCAGATAATCAAGGATGAGGACCTGTAATTAGGGGGTGCTGCTATATATAGCTGGCGTGGCCAGGAGATACGGAATCAAACACTGGAATAACACGTTCGTCGACGAACCCTTGAATCCTTGAATAGTATAAGGGTCTTGCATCATTACTTTTTCCCTGGGTCATACATATATATATATATATAGTATACACGTGTATATAGTATCGCTCTTCGTGCAATTCATGTTCACTGTGGGCCGCTCCTGGCCAGCACCATCCAGTGCCCTCGAACGACTGGCCATGCTAGCCCGCGGCTCGGCAGCAGTGCGGCTGACCTCGCCTCACCCGTTGACTTGTTCTGCATGTTTGTGACATTGTGTGGCAGATGTTCGTAGCAATGAACTTGATTGGATCTGGAGCTGGAGGGGAGGGTAAATCGTACATGTATGTCCTCTCTCTCGATTTTGTGTGCCGCGGGCGTTATACGCCTTTGGAGCTGCGGTTTAAAGCAACAGGCTTTGGCTCGGGCGCAGCTAGCACGCGCGTGATTGGCCTCGAGGGTGCCGAACCGACGGACGACGAGTGCTAGGGACGTCCTAGCCTGGGCTGCCTCGCGGGATTCGCGAGCGAGTAAAGGTGCGCGTGCGTGGACACCCGTTCTCACCAATCCCTGCAGCAGGTTCGTTCCACTCCCCTCCCACTTCCCTTCCACTTCCCTTCCCACTTCCATTCCCACCTCCCTTAAGATCCTACGTACTTCCCTCCCACGTCCCTTCCGCGTCCCTGCTCCTTCAGACGTTCCCACCCTTCCCCACGCTTTCCCTCCCACTCTCTTTTTCGCCTCCTCCACGCTCTCCCTCCCCGATGCTTTCACCAGATGCCACGGGGGCAGGGTAGGGGAGACGGAGCAGGCATCCTCGAGATCTGAGGTCGCATATGAGGTAGCGCGGTTGTTTTGCAGCATTTCCTCGTCGAGTTGCCAGTGCGTTGATTCACCCACCTTGCGTTTCACTTCACCTGCACGCGCGCAGCTCGCATCATATCGCAATGTCGGGGAGAGCCGCTGCTGCCGAGATTCTTGCATCGTCTGCAGGGTCTGGCGGAGTCCAGTCGAGATCAGCTGTCGCGGCAGGGCGTGGCGAATCCAGCACGTATCTCCCTAGGGCATCGGACCTGCCATCGGACTCGGGCCAGGGGCTTCGGCAGTACCTTCTCGGCGAGTGGAAGGTCGGCGCAATGAATGCTAAACAAGTTTGCGTTATTGCGTACTGGGCGACCCTTGGTGGAACACGCGGCGTGGCAGATATAGCCCTGCATCCGGACAGCACACATTTCGCAGGCCACCTCAAGGAAGTATTGGAGATGAATGTTGCACATCAATTTTACACGGTTGATATTCCTATGTGGGATTCTGAAACAGAGGCGCGTGTAGTGCGCCCCTTCCCCATCAACCTGCCCCACGAATACTTCGCTTCAGCCGCCGCTGCACGCCCTGAGCACTGGAACCCTGATGGTTACGACGCCGAGAACATCCCTGAGGCATTATACCAGCACCCTGTCTACACCACGCACGGGCGGAAGGCCGTGCCTTTAGGCTACTACTCGGACGGCGTCCCCTTCACAAAGAAGGACACGTTCATATGCATATACATGTCAAACGGCCTCACGCAGTCCAGGGTGCTGCTATGTGTTATAAAAAAAGCGACCTGTGCCAATGTGGCTGCCGCGGCTTTTGTTCGTGGGGCGCAATACAACGTGTTCTAGTATGGTCTTTCAACGCTCTGGCGTCGGGGCTATGGCCTGCCACGAACCACCTTGATGAGCCATTCCCTGTTGGTGATGATAGATCCAACTTCCGCGGATTTCAGTTGTATAACGGCTTCGCAGGTGCCCTCGTCGAGTTTCGAGCTGATTTACTAGAACTGAATTCTGTACTTGGGGTGAAAAATTGGAAAAATCCATTAAACCCATGCATGTGCTGTTCGGCCAGCAGGCAACGTGGTTCTGAACAGCTTTGGGGGGGTACTGCATTCGGGAATGCTTCTATACTGTGCCCGCGTGCAGGGGGCGCGCGCGCTCCCTGCCCGCCCAAGCGTGGACATGCTTGGGCGGGCAGCAGTATTGAGGGTTCCCGACTGCTGTTTTTCCCTTCTGCTGTTCTTATCCCTAGGGATGACCTGTTCAACTTCCCCAAGACAGTATCGGCGTGCAGATGGCACAACAGAGACGCTGCAGCATATAGGATCATGGTACAACGGAGTGTACAGAGTCGCACACTACACAGCCCTGCCGACCTTCGCCAGCTCAGGAACTACATGGAGTTTAGTGACGAATTCGGTGGACTCGCTATAAAGGAGTACTGTCCCCTGTTCAATCTTAGACGCGGGTGCCGCCTATTGGAGAAGGGGCAAGTGCACGACACGCACAACCTCGACGGCCTCAGCTTCCCTGTGGAGCTGTTCTTCTTCGACGCCCTGAACCACATGGGCTTGAACCTGCTGTGTCCGCTCATGGACATCATAGGCTTTTCAGTTGCAAGTGTTCACTTGGACAGTATGCACATCCTCGACTTGGGGGTGTGCCAATACTTAGCAGGATCTGGGAGTGAAAACGAAATTGTGCACCGCGAGCGCGCGCCCTGGCGCGCCAGCCTAGAACCAAAGACACACAACAACCCAAGAACCAGAGACACAACACACCAACCGCTTGGGGTGCACAAATATGTTTCCACGCCCACCTAGGAGCCGTACTGCGGTCACTGGTTCTTAATAATTTCTGTGGCAGCAGAAAAAGGCTGAGAGAGTTCAGGATCAAGGACAACATTCAATTCCTGAATAGGAGGCCCCGGTCGTTCTACAAAGACTCAGGCGGCAGAATGAAGGGCACGAGGACCAACATTGGCAAGCTTACCTTTGACATGTTAACAAAATCAGTGGACCAACCAGCACGCCTCAAGTCGAAGGCCGCCGAGTGTAGGAAACTGTTACCTTTGCTGGAGACGCTCTGCTTGGAGTTCCCTGGGGCCCTAGGCCCCCGCGAGAGGTACCTCACAGCTGCTGTCAAGGACATGAATGTGATTTACGAGACGATGGCCAACGAGCCCCGCCAGATGTCCAAATCCAGCCTCGGCATCATGCAGCAGCGCATGTGTCACTTTCTTTGGGCGTGGTCGACGTATGGTGGTCACTTGGTGTACAAGCACCATGCGGCCTACCACGTCGTGCAGCAGGCCGAGCAGAAAGGCAACCCGAGGCACTACTGGTGCTACTGGGACGAGCAGGTCAACAGAGTGATGCAGGCCGTAGCAAAATCTCTGCATGCAGGCACTACGTTTTACACTGCATTTCTACGCAAAGTGTTAGTCGACCTGTAGGCCTTTTATAATTCGGCTACGATCATTATCTTATACATATCGTCACCTCGTCACCACCATCACCATCATCATCATCACCATCATCACCATCATCACCATCATAATCATTTATCATCGCATGCATGATGTGTCACACCGTGTTTCACGTTTCACCGCATCTCACCACGCAGCCTGGCCCGACACTGTGCGCACGAGCTGGCGCGCGCCAGCAGGACAAATCGGCGAGCGAGCGCGCGAGGTGGCACGGGAAGTGGGCACCGCCATTCTCCCCCATGTTTCTCTTGACCCCCGCCGTCTTCCCCAAACCCGCAGGTTGTCATATATAGTGTCCCTCCCCCCTCCCCCTCCTCCTCCCCCTCCCCCCTCTCCCTGCTCGTCGCCCCCCTCTCCCCCGCCCCCCCGTTCACCCGCAGAGTCGAGGAGGCGTGCTCCTGGCTTGATTGGAGATCCCGCCGCCCTTCGTTATGCTTCCCTCGGCCAGGGGGAGGGCACGGAGGAGGAGGAGGAGGAGGAGGAGGAGGAGGAGGAGGAGGAGGAAGGGGAGGAAGAGGAAGGGGAGGAGGAGGAGGAGGAGGAGGAGGAGGAGGAGGAGGAGGAGGAGGAGGAGAGGAGGGGGAGGAAGAGGAAGGGGAGGAGGAGGGGAGGAGGAGGAGGAGGAGGAGGAGTATCTCGCTCTTCCTCGACCGTGGGCTTTCCGCGCAGTAGCGGAACTTGGAGGAAAACGAAGGCCGCTGCCCTTGACGGCGGCGGGCCTTGAGGGCCAAACCGACCATCGGTCGGTAGGGCGGGCGTGGCCCTTCGGTGCGGCGGAGAAGGAGAGGAGGAGGAGGAGGAGGAGGAGGAGGAGGAGGAGGAGGAGGAGGAGGATATATATATATATATATATATATACACACACGCATGACACACACATACATACAAACACACACATACATATATGCATACGTACATACATACATGCATGCATACATGCATGCATGCAGGCATAGATACCTACATGCATACATGCATACATGCATACATACATATATATACACATCCACCTATACACATACATATACTAACATATGCATTTACACATGCATTCATACATACATACACACATGCATATAAACATTCATACATACATACGTACAAGCATGCATACATGCATGCATGCATGCATGCATGCATGCATGTATGCATGCGTACATATACGTACCTACGTACATACATGCATGCATGCATGCATGTATGTATGTATGTATATACATGCATGTATGCATGCATGTATGTATGTATGTATGTTATGTCTGTATGTGTGTATGTATGATGTATGTATGATATGTCCTGATTTTTTCGAGATGTCCTGATTTTTGTTGAATGTCTTGTTTCATTTTCAGAGCGCATCTTCAGGTCCTGATTTTTTCAGGACTCTATCATGTCTGGGGTTGTGTCCGTGCCCCAGGAGGCTGGGGCAAAGGGCCCGATGGCGCCCCTCTTCGCGCCGCGCAGGGCACGGTCGCGGATGGGCACGCGTGCGACATTACCTCTGCGAAGCCTTCAATAGAAAACCAATCGAGGAGGGGCCTTTTTGACGCGCGCGATGTTTGTCTGATGCGTTCCTGTGTTCGTGCGTCGAGTTGCCTGCTGCCGCGCGTGATGTGGCCTGCGCCGACGTCGCTGCGCGGATGAGTCGCCCTGGGGTGGTACCCGCGTTGCAAACGCCGCTCTCGTGACCGACCTGCCAGTGGATCAGAACCATGTCGGCGACCAGCCTCGGGCGATGCACGCCTTCTGGGCGGCATTCTTGCTGTCCACCTGTCCTCGGCCGCTTCCGCAAATTCTCCGCTCATTGCGTGCGTTGATGGGGTCTTTTCCAAGCGTCCTTGAAGCGCCCGTCTGCGCGAAATATTGGCCCGTCTGTGCGCGTCTCGAAGGGTTCTAAGCTTTCAGGATCATGCTTGGGCTGTATGGCACCAGCCTGGGGGCATGCACCTACAGCTATACGTCGGCGCCTACGTATGCATATTGAACGCGCACTCGTATGCATATGCGCGTGCATGGACATGTGCACTTGCACTTCCACATACACGTGTGCATGTACATCTGGATGCACATATGCAAGTACCTATTCATAGCCGTATATATAAGTATATATACACGTTTTCAGCTTCCTCCACGTAAAACGTATGCATATACGTATAAATGCATGCACGTACGCATATGTTACATGCATCAAAGCATGTATACACATACAAACTTCTACATACACATATACATGGAACTACACACACATCCACACGCGCCGTATCATATGCATACACAAAACCGTATGGGTGCAATCGTACATGCATATGTTTACAAATACCTTTCCCGCTTGCACACAACAGTATGGTCGTGCACCTACGTGTACATATCTACGCTCACAGGTACAAGCACATATGCGTGATGATGTACGCAGACGAGTTCATGCATCCGCGTACATGAACAAGACCTAAACTTGGACATTCGCAAACACATACATGTGCACACGCATATAAATGTACACATGACACAACAGTGTACAGCCATAGATACCGATGCGGGCACATTCAGACAAACAAATACCAAAACGAACCTTACCTACGCACATGTGCGTACTATGCACGTACCTATAAACAATAGTGTATACCTGTACATACACCGTAGCTACGTGGACAATTTGCTGGTACGCGTCCGATCGGCAACAGGTCCGTTTTGCTTCCCTTATGTTTGTCTCTTCTGTTCTCTCTGTCGGGAAGTCCGGGCATTCGGACTGTCTACTGATTGGGGTCCGTTTGTGGTGTATTACTGCTGGTGTTTTCACGCCCCCGCGCGGTCGACGGCGTTGTGGCGAATGTCGTGGGGGAGTGTGATAATGAACCTCGCCCCCGACTCCGAGCCGCAGTGGGCTCGACAACCGTGCCTTCTCGCCACTGGGTTTTTCTTCAAGTCGTATGAGGTCCGGAAGTCCTCTCGCGCCTGGCGATGCCGCTGGCGAGCCGAGTGGGCGGGCGCGGACGCAGCAGGGTCTCGTCGCTTCCGTCCGCGCGCCCGCCCGGCGGCCGTTTTGGCGGAGGGGCCCGAAGGAAGAAACGGCTTGGAGGCGGCGCGCGGGGCCCAGGGGCCCCTCCGCAGAGATGGAGAAGCCCGCCGAGTTCTCTCGGACAAGCTGTGGCGGGGTACCTCCAGGAGCGCGACGCACGCGCCGCGGCCGGCCTCCGTGCCCGCGCTGCCGGGAGGGCTCTGCGGGCGCGAGCGCCAAGGTGCGGCCGACCACTTCTAGAGAACCGCCCGTGAATCACCAGGGCGAAAAGAACAGGTCGCGGGAAGACGACCGCGACGGCGGCGACGGAAACGACGCCGGCAGAGACCGATCGGTGTTAATGAGGGATATTGGACGCCTAGGGGGGTGTCCTCTTGCTGTTGGGATCGCGTTCGATGCCAGAGATCTGTTTTCGTCGGGCCGACGACGGCGCGCTGTCATGCGCGGGCCGCTGTCGGCAGCGGACAACTGCATCGATGATGATTTTTGTTTTGTTGGGTTCTCGTCCAGACGCCCGCTGGAAAAGCGAAAAGCATTGTTCGTCCCCCACGGGCTCGCCCTTGGAGTCGTGGCCGCGGCGTCGTCGTCGACGTCGTCGGCGTTGGTGGATGCCCAGCCGCCAGCGGCTCTGCCATTTGCGCGAAGCCTACCCCCCAGTTGTCGCGCAACCCGCGACGACCCGAACGTCGGGGCGGACCCGGCCGCGGCGACGAGGGCGCCCGAGGAGGCCGACAAAAAATGCGAATTGTTCGAAAGCCATCCTCGCCCTCCACCGCGCTGGAAATGGGCCCCAAGATCCCGCCGAGAGCGAGACGCACCAGTTTCAGAGAAGCGTCGAGGGGTTACCTTGGGCCGTCTCGGCGCTCTCTTGGACCGCCTTGGAGCTCTCATGGGCCCGTTGTGAGTTGTTTTGGTTCCAGGAAAAGCGCCGGGTAGCTCGTTGATGCTCCCCCCCCCGCCCCCCCCTAATGCGATGCTTGGCCCCCGGGGAGGGATACACGGTGAGGAGAACAGCCGATCATATCACACCCCTTTTCACGCACAGCAAGACAGGTCATCGTTAATCCTTACAATACCGCATCACATGCCATACCATACTATTACACAACAGTCTATACTAATTATCCCAGAACGGGTCATAATAGTTCAGGTTCAGCATGAACGAACACACCACACAATAAGAAAATTGTACGACATATTGCTACGCTACGGTAGCGAGTATACGAAATCAACACATACGCATCATACAACCCGAGTGTAGTCCAATACCATGCCATAACACACCATGCCCCGACATACTGAGCCGTGCACATAACAATACAGGATCACATATTTTAGCGGAGCATGCCACGACATACCGTACCATACCATACCATAGCACAGTACCACATACCAGACCATGCCATAACACGTCATACGGTGACATTGAACTCATTTATGTAAGCAATATCTAGCCACCACGAAGAGTGCACATTTCGTAAATCCACCACAGGGGATCAATGCGTGGTGGATTCTTCTTACATGGAACCATTTTTTGTCGTTTTCTCATTTTGGTCCGGCCCCAGAGCTTGGACCACAAAGGGACGGTAGACGGGAGTTTTGGGCGGCGACCCCAATGGGAGGAGGCTCGGTAACATTGCAGAACATGCCACCATCTGTAGGAATTCGAGCGCAACAAAGAGAATCCGTTTCTGGGTCCACCCGGCAGGGAATTTTGCGTGGTGGATTTACGAATGGTTTCCCTTTGTGGCGCTTTCTGTTGTAGAAAGATTTGGGCTGGTCCCCAAGCCCTGACCACCGAGAAACATTGAGAGGAAGTTTGGATTGTAAGCCAAGGGAGTCTTGGGGAACAAAAGAAGTGTATCAAACCAATGAGGGAAAGCACCCCCGCCCCCTTCTGAGGATCCCTGAGGTGCATCTCAGGGGGGGAGCTACCACACATACGTATGTATAGGAATATACATATAGAATCATAAACCTATGCCATCTTTATTGAACTATGTACATTTACAGTTATGTGAAATATACATATGTGTTGTACATATGTAACATGTGTATAAGTATCACTCCCTCCATTCCTGCTCTCTTTCTCCGTGCACCCTCGTCAGACGGGCGAAGGACCTCGGAGCGGAGTTGTGTCAGGCTGGGGACGTGGGAAAATGGACGGGGTCAGGATGTGGTGAGGAAGTGAGTAACAAGAGGAACGCTAACACACTGCCAGCGCTGAGAGAGGGCTGGGGCGACGCCAGGTGACCTTTACGTTGCCAGTACGTTTTTCTTCCAGAAGCTCACCTCAGGCGCTCGCCGCGCTCGCCGCCTGGTCGCTCAGAAGGTGCACTTGCACACGGGCACTGGCCCTCCGTTTGTGGCGACGACGAGCTCCCCGGAGGCGCATAGGAGGCCCCACAAATCTCAATCTTCGAGCCTCGGTGTGAGTCCCAACCACTCCTGCCAATCTCTAGTAGTGACCGGGCACTTGTCTCAGGGCGGTGGGTCACGAGCGGATGCGCGCCGTCCCCGAGCGCGCGGTGGCATGGGCGGTTCCTGCAGCACGGCCGGTCCGCATGCTCTTGCCTCTGCAGCCATTCTGTGGTGTTGGGCCCACGTTTTGAGCCAGGAGCGCCCCGCGTCTCTGTCCTCCCGCCTCCCCCTCCCCTCCTTGCCGTTCTCCCAACTATCCTGTGTGCTCCTTGCCCCCCTCCAGCCTCCCCACTCCTTGCCTCCGCTCTCCGCATGTCTCTGTTTCGGCACGCCCCTCACACGTTGCTCCACGGGAGGTCCCAGAGGCGGTGTTTCCATGCCGATCCCGCGCGCCGTTTCGGGCACCCCTGCAATAAGTTGTGGGTCCACGAAGGGGTTCCACCGAAGGCCCCAGGGTGGTGTTCGCATGCTGCCCTGGCCCATTTTGGTACACCACTCACACATTTCTTGGCTCCATCGGGAGCTCAATCGTAATGAGACCACAGTGGTGATGCGTGCATGAAGTTGCCGCGCCCATGTCGGCACATCCCTCACAGTTTTCGTGGCTTCATGGGGAGCCCCACCGAACGCGCGACCGATATTTGCATGGGCGCTGTTGTTTATCCTGGCGCGTCCGATACGATTCGATCTCGACGCCGCGCCAACGCGGCCCGATCCGATCCGGCCCGGTTTCCGATCCTATGTTGATTGACCCTGCATTTTTGGCGCACCTGTAAGGCGAGGAAGCGAGCTTCCGCAGCAGCCTTGGCCCAAGCATGCTCGGAGCTGGAGTCCGTGCCGACCTGCCGACACTTTGCAGCCCAGATGGCGAATCGTTCGAGCATCTTGACGTTGCTGTTGTGCGTTGCGCTTCCGCTCGTTGGCAATGCCGCTGCAACAGCAGCGGGCACGAGTGGATGGTTTGATGATCTGGTCAGTCGGCAGACGGCCGAGGCTACCCGGAAGTTCCCGCCGAAGACGGGCCAGCCCGCGTGGACACTCCTTGAGTTCTGTGGGGGCGTCGCAGCTGGTGACGATGGCAGGGCACCGGGTGCCTGCGCGTCTGGTCCCATGCGCGACACAGCTCAAGGGGAGGTAAAGTACGTCAGGCTTGTTTTCACACCTGCTCACATGACAGCGCCGACGTTGCTGGTGTTCCATAACGTCACCGCAAACTCAACGATGTACGAGTATGCTGACCAGACGTGGCTCGGAGACGACCAGCTAAGAACAAACTGGAGTTTGAGTCTGAGTTTGGAGCAGGCCTATTCTCGCTTTGCGGCAGTCGCTGGCGGCGGCTTTCTTTCTGTCACGTGGCGCGACATGGTGTACCGCTGCGTATTCGAACCCGTCTTTATTTTCGAGACATTGAATTCAAGCATGTCGTATGTCGGCGCGTACACAAAGAAGGTTTGTAGCACCCCAGTTATGACGGAGAACGCGAGTCTTGGTTGCAAGCCTGAATGTTCTCCCTTGGGCGTTCCAGCAGGCACGTATCCGAATATGGTGGTCTGAGAACTCGTCTTTTGACATAGTTAAGAAACACTCGTCGATACGAGGACATCAAGGACGAGAACGAGGGCGGGAAGAGTAGGGACAACGAGAACGAACACAACGAGGATGATGACGACGACGAGGATAAGTACGATACATAAGACACGGAAGAGACGTCTTCGTGCACGATCGCCACGGCGCCGAAGATTTCAACACCGATGACGATGTCGACGACGACAGCGACGTCGACGACGGTGACGGCTTGCACGGCGACGTCGACGACACCCGCGCCCTCGAGGAACATTGCGATGCCGTTGACGGCGACGAAGTCCACGTGGTCGACAACTATTGCGACGACGATTACGATGACGTCGGCGACGGTGGCGATGCGTACGCCCAGGTCATAGGCGACGCTAGCGACGACGTCGACGGCGGTGACGACCACGCCGACCACGCTGTCCACGCCGTCGACGATGACGGCGAATACGCCCACGACGACGCCGAAGGCGCCGAAGACCATGACGGCACCGTCAACGTCGACGGAGTCGAAGGCAACGTCGACTGCGACGGAGGCGATGTGGACGACGGTGGCGACCACGCCGACGACGTCGACGGCGCCGGCGTCGCCCGCGTCGAGGGGCCCCGCGCCCGCCTGCGGTTTGCGGAGGCGGCGTCGCCAGCGGCGAGGAGGGCTGGGAGAACGTCCAGAGGCGGGCGCGGCGCCGCGGCCTGGCGCGGAGGTAGGGGGGAGCGACGAGCCCGCCGGCGGGGGAGGAGGCGAGGAGCCTCGCTGCCGCGGCGCGCTTCTCCTCGGCGCGGAGGGCGGCGGCGTCGACGAGGACGCGCACGACGGCGACGCCCACGGGCCTCACCGCCGCAGCGTGCCCCTCCTGGGGCCGCCGCGCCAGCAGGAAGAGGACGGGCGGGGAGGCGGGCTGGCATCCCCTCGCCTGTTCCCTTCGTGCACCTCCCCCCCCACCCATCAATTTTCGGACCTCAGCGCTCATGAGGAAAGAAGAAGAACACGCAGACACCACGAATCGTCGATTCCCCAGAAAATATTGTGAAAACATGGGAAGTGGGGGGGAAGACAAAAGCCCAGAACATATGGGAAAGCATAGGGGGATCCTGTGATTTGTGTGTCCCAGGGCCCCTCCAAACGCGGATTTCTTCAGTCAGTGGCGACGCGAGGGGGGTCCGTGAGGATCGAGGGTAGGCGCATGGAGGCTCTGGAGGAAGAGCACCGCACGGACATACATTTTTAGGAGCCTCGTGCGGATTCGTCGGACTGCCGCTGGACTCCCTTGCGGCGCCTCCGGCGCGGCCCTTGGCGCTCCCCGCGCGCCTGACATGGGGGGTCAGCGCCTGTCCACGAAGTCTGCGCGGATGTCGGGGGGTTTAGGTTCACACGCCTTTCTCTCACTGTGGAACTGGGTGTGGGCGTGAGGATCAAAAGGGGTGTCTTCTCGGTGGCGAGCGAGGGGGGGACGTGAGCAGGTGCGGGCCTTCTCAGAAGGCTCGGAAGCCCCCCGGCCTTCAGAGAAGTCTTCTGAGCCATCCCCGAAGACACAAAGAACTTCTCAGGAGGCCTGAGGGCCTCTGAGACGCCCCGCCGCCTTCTGAGAAGGCCTTCTCCTTCTCACTTCCCCCCCTCATTCGCCGCTGACAAAGGTGCCCCTGGCCCAATGTGCCCCCAGCTTTTCGCTCCGCCATGGAGCTCCCAGGGCACCCTGGGCCTCGTGATGAGGTGCCCTGGAGGCCTTTTGGGGGGCCTCTCTGGAAATCCTGGGGGCACCTCGGGCCAGGGGCACTTCTGGCAACACCCGACCCTGAGATCGTGCCGATCCTCGGTTCCGCTGGCTCGGCTGCTGCGAAGTCCGCTCCGCTCGGCCCGCTCGGCTTGGCTCGGTTGTGGTGCCGCCTCTGCGCCGCTGCGCGCCCCTCCTCTGGGCAGCCAGGAGCGGCCTGTCGGGGGAAAGGTTGCGTTCGGTTTGGCTGTCGGTTCGGTCGGCTTGCGGGCCGGTCAACGAAGCGACCCAGGATGAATGCAGTCGAGAACCAACGAGAATTGCAGTCGGACCGAGGTGTAAGATCGAGGTCGGCTCGGGGAGGGTACCCTCATGTTCTTCGTGCTTGTGGGCTGTTCTTGTGCATCCTGGGGGTGATGCCCTCGGATGCTCTGTGTGTCTTGGCCGGCGGCGGGTCTCATGTTCTTGAAGGATACTCTTCTGTCCTAGGTCCGACTGTACCGCCTCTGCCGCCTTCGATTTCCACGTCGTTGGCGATGGCAGGGTCGTGACTGCTCGCTGCGGCTTGTGCCCTCCGTGCCAGCGAGCATCATGGGCGGCAGGAAGAGGTTTCTGTTGTTGTTGGTGGTGTTGTTGTTGTTGTTGGTGTTGGTGTTGGTGTTGGTGTTGGTGTTGGTGTTGGTGTTGATGTTGGTGTTGGTGTTGTTGTTGAACATTATTTCTTCTTAAGAATAATTATTGTTGGGACCCCTGGTGCGCGACCCCCCCGCCGCGCCTAGGCCGCAGCCACATTTTCATCATTTTCGTGAGGAAGTCTCAGGCAAAACGATTGGTACCGGATCCGGTTTTTTGTTGACGCTCGTTTTCCCTTGCAAAAAACAATAGAAAATGAAAATTCTTGTTCTTAGTTGATCAAATTGCAAGAATCCCTTGCAAAAAATAAGGTAAAGTGGACATTCGTGCGCGCAAGACGAAATCCTTCCAAAACCTTAGGTTTCGTAGCGATTTTAACATAAAAACATCAAAAACCCAATGGTTTTTTAAGAAAAAATTGTCAAAATGTCCTTCCGCGCGCGCTGTCCGAATCCCACAAAACCAATGGTTTTTCAACATTTATGTTACATGAGCTCGCGCGAGCTACTTTTTCTTGTTCTAACATAATCAAATTTCAATAATCCCTTGCAAAAAATAAGGTAAAGTGGACATTCGCGCGCGCAAGACGAAATCCTTCCAGAACCTTAGGTTTCGTAACGATTTCAACATAAAAACATCAAAAACCCAATGGTTTTTCAAAAAAAAATGTCCAAATTTCATCCCGCGCGCGCTGTCCGACTCCCACAAAACCAATGGTTTTTCAACATTTATGTTACATAAGCTCGCGCGAGCTACTTTTTCTTGTTCTTACATAATCAAATTTCAACATCCCTTGCAAAAAAAAAGTAAAGTGGACATTCGCGCGCGCAAGACCAACAAAAAACACGACGATCTCAGGAACTTGCCCCAAAAATGTGACCAACTCCGCTCTCTCTGTCTCTCTCTCTGTCTGCTCTCTGTCTCTCTCTGTCTGTCTGTCTGTGTCATGTATTGTATGTCACAATTGCAGGATGCTGGGCACACGCGCGCCCCGAATAAGTGACCAAGTTCTGTGGGTGTGTACCCCACGCCAGTGTAGTAGCCACGGTCGTCCGCACGCCACGAAGTGAAGTGTCCCAACGTCATAGGGCGGGAAGCTGGGTTTGGGTGGTCGCGAAGAGTCGTTTGGATATTTGGTAGAGCTTGAACTGCCCCCCCACGAAGTGGGGGTATTGTCTCGCGTCGCATGAAAACCCTGGCACTGGTGAGAACACTGAGCGTTCGGGTAAAATGATTGTTGTTGTTGTTGGTTGTTGGTGTTGGTGTTGGTGTTGGTGTGGTTGGTGTTGTTGTTGTTGTTGTTGTTGTTGTTGTTGTTGTTGTTGTTGTTGTTGTTGTTGTTTTTGTGAGCAGTTTTCCGGTCTTGGGGGCCATCCCCGGGCCCCTGGTACGACTTGGGATGAAGAGCTGGTCTTGAGGGAGGCCCCTGGGACAGGACCCCGCCTCCTCCACATGTAGGCGCGCTTGCATCCGATGGCGAGCTGGTCGTCATCGCCGACAACGCCGACGCCGTCCGCGTCGGCGTCGGCGTCGTCTTCGTCGTCTTCGTCGTCGGCGTCGTCGTGGACGTCGTCGTGGACGTCGTCGCCGTCGATGTCGATGGCGTGGACGAGGTCGTCGTGTTTTTTCGGTGACGGCGTGGCCGCCGTCGTCTCGACGGCTTGGTCGACGTGTTTCTGTTGACCGTCCCACGGCCCGGCGGGGCCCCACCCGAAGTCGCCGAGCAGCGTCCGTCGTGCGTGCTTCTCCCCGACGCGAAGGGGTTTCAATTCCCATCCTCCCCTCGGAGGCTCAAAAATGCCGTCTTGGGGCCCTCCTGGGTCGCTCCTGGGGCGCCCTTGGGCGCTCTTGGGGCCGTCTCGGGGCCCTCTTGGACGCCTCTTGGGGCTATCTTGGGCCGTTTTGGGGCCATCTTTGGGGCCTCGAGAGCCCGTCGGCGGCGTCCTCGGAGGCCTCGGACAGGGGTCTGGGAGAGGTGCCCGGGACGAGAGCCCGCTCCTGTCGGGCAGGTGCCGAGAGGTCCGCGGGGCCGCGCGCCGAGCAGGCACCACACGGCGAGCGTCGCGGCTTTTTGTGGCTGTCCGCCGGGCGCCGCCGCCGGTCGTGGGCACACCGTCGTCGTCGGCGTCGTCCTCGTGGTGCTCCCATGTGCTCTCGGGCGGTCCTCATTCCTCCCTCGAGGCGGAGGCCAGGGAGAAGGAGCTCCTGGGTCTTTGGTCGCGGCTGCTCATTTTCACATCGCCCCGCCCCTGCTCCTTCCCTGCCCGTCCTTGCGCACGGCTCCCTCCCTCCCCCCCTCCGAAAAGCATGGATGTCCAGATCGGAGGTGAGGGGGTGAGATCCCAGTGGAACGGAGAGCCCCCCCACCAGGAAATCGGTTTCGGTTTCGTGTTCGTGTCGTGCGTGCGGGCGATGTGAAGTTGCGTGGGCGCTCTAGAGGAATGATGCCGCCGTGGCTAGGGGCTGTGGAGCCAGTTGTTCTCCCCCCCCCCCTGGGCGCGCGGTGGCCGGGGGTGTCCAGTCGATGGCGCGGGGCAAATCCCGTCTTCAGAGCTCTGAGGAGGAGGAAGGATGTTGTGAGACAGCGGGTTCTTGTTGGAAGGCGGGCTTTGGGGCCTACCGGGGCCTCCGCGTGGCCTTCCGTCGCTGGTGGCTTCTGGATACGGTAATGACGCAGCGTTCTGCTTTGCCACTGTGCCCACCACAATCCATTTATTTGTACAAAGTGGTTTGGGTAGCCGATGCTTTGGCAAGTTCTTGCTGAGACAGTCTTGTTGTGAACCAACGTTCTCACGATCTTGGATCTCGGAACATTGTTGTTATTGGTGGTGGTGGTTATGTCAATGTTGTTGTTGATGTTGATGTCGTTGTTGTTGTGATTGTTGTTGTTGGTGTTGACGTTGTTGATGATGTTGCTGTTATTGGTCTGTGTGTTGTTGTCGTTGTTGCTGTTGCTGTTGCTGTTGCTGTTGCTGTTGCTGTTGCTGTTGTTGTTGTTGTTGTTGTTGTTGTTGTTGTTGTTGTTATTGTAGTTGTTGTTTTTGGTGGTGGTGGTGGTGGTGGTGTGGTTGTTGTGGTTGTTGCTGTTGTTGTTGGTGTTGTTGTTGTTTCTGTTGTTGTGTCTGTTGTTGTTGTTGCTGCTGCTGTTGTTGTTGTTGATGTTGTTTTTTTTGTTGTTGCTGTTGTTGTTGTTGTTGCTGCTGGAACAGGTCTTGTTCTAAGAACATGTTTCTGCATGCCCAGTAGAATAACTCGACGGCCGGCCCCTGCTTGTCTGAGGGGCCTCCGGGGACTCCCTCCCCCAACACGCGCCCGCGCGCCCGAGTGTCCTGCGCGCCTTGTTGCGTGAGTGCGCGCGCAGACTTGCATTGTCTTGGCATCGCTCGGACGTGTGCATTTTTCCTTCGGCGAGGGCCATCGAGGAACATCCTTGACCATTTGGCGAAAAAAACACGCACGAAACCCTAAAAAACGCAAAACATGGACGTCCGAGCGATGGCGAGTTGTCGCCGCGCACAGGGGGGGGGGAGGGCGAGGGGGTCGGCCTTCGAAGAAGGCACGTGGCTTCTTGGCAGCCTTCCCAAGCATGTCGGACGCCTTCTCAGAATCATCCAGGCGCTTCTGCGGAAGGCCCCCCTCCCCCCGCCTTCAGTAAAGGCCCCCCCCCGCGCGCAGCCCCTGAGCGCCGCCAATGTCGGCGTGTTTGTGTTAAGGCATGGGTCTGCATGCTTTGATATTTGCACTTTGGCGCCCTCAGATGGACAAGATCGCTCGAGGATGGACTGCTGGCCAAAAGGCGTGAACTCTCCCTGTCTCTCTGTTTTTGTTGTTGCACGGCGGTGCTGAGGGAGGGGAGCATTGAGAGTCGTTCTGCCGCGGCTGCGCCCAATCTGTCGCAGGGCCCCGCCCTGTGGGATTGACGCATTGTACCGCCTGTGAGGGTGTATAGTCTGATCGCAGTCGCCATGTTCGACGCGTTTACCGACTGAGCAGCGCGAGACCAGGATTCCGGATGTTCTGGCTAGCTTTGGAGAGGCTTCGTCTCAGCCCAGCGATTGCAAGAGATTATTGGCGCGGTCCTGGCCACGATCCTCGAGCGAGCCCTCCTTCCAGCGGCTGCAGCTTTCCATTCGTATGCAGCTTGCCGTCGTGGAAGTTTCCAAGGGGCCTTGGCCGTCAGAATGGGAGGAGGGCCAGTTGGGAAGGGCGCGGCCCAGATCCGCTCAAATCCGTCTCTTCGCTCGGCGTCACCCAGCATACTACTAATACTGTGTGTGCGTCGCCCCCCCAGGGGGCGACGCGCGCACCGAGAGCTCTTGCAGCACACTCCTCGTGGCGGGCGCTGTCTGGCCACACCGCTCGGGAAACGATGTGCTGCAAGACGGTTGGACTATATGTCCGGGTCGGCAGCGCGCCTCCAAGGAGGATTTGTCGCGTCGGCGGCGAGGCAAGGGAAGGCTACGCTGGCGGAAAGGCCTAAACGGGGATGCCATTAAGGCGAATTAGGCCACCGTGCAAGAGGAGGAGGAGAAGGAGGAGGAGGAGGAGGAGGAGCAGGAGGAGGAGGAGGAGGAGGAGGAGGAGGAGGAGGAGGGGTGAGAGGAGGAGGAGGAGGAGGGAGGAGGAGGAGGAGGAGGAGGGGAGGAGGAGGGGAGGTTGGAGGAGGAGAGGAGGAGGAGGAGCAGGAGGAGGGGGAGGAGGAGGAGGGGAGGAGGATGGCGCGGCGGAGAGAAAGAGCCTCAGAGGAGGACTCCAGTGCTGGCACGTCTCTGTGCGTCCCGTGCGCCACTCCCCGGGGGCCTCCCCCCTCTTCCTCCTCCTCCTTCTCCTCTCCTCCTCCTCCTCCTCCTCCCTCCTCCTCCTCCTCCTCTCCTTCTCTCTTCTTTCTCCTCCTCCCCCTCCTCTCACCGCCTCCCTCCTTCTCCTCTACCGCCTCCCTCCCCCTCCCCTCCCCCTCCCCCTCCTCCCCCCCCTCCCCCTCCCCCTCCCTCCCCCTCCCCCTCCCCCTCCTCCTCCTCCTCCTGCCTCCTCCTTCTCCTCCTCCTCGTCCTCCTCATCCTCCTCCTCATCCTCATCCTCCTCCGCCTCCTCCTCCTCCTCCTCCTCCTCTCACCGCCTCTCCCCCTCTCTTCGCAGACGCCCACCAAAAGGAGCCTGCTCGCCAGGGGTCTGAGCCGCCGCTGCCTCGGCGGGCCCCCTTCGCCGATGCGGCCTCGCACCGCGCCGTCCCGGGAGGGCTCGTCACGCTGCATCTCCGGGGGGCTCGCCCCGCGCCCGTCCCCCTAGCTGGTGCCTTCTCTTGTGCCCGACGCCGGCCCGCTGCGGCCTCGACGCGGATTAGGCGTGGATTCGACGCGGATCCGACACGGAGCGGACGAGTCGGACCGAGATTCGGCACGGATTCGACGCGGATAGGGCCGCGACGGGACAGACGAGGTCCCCCTGGGGGATGCAGCAGAAGCTTCGCGACAGGGGCGAGCCCGAAGGTGGCGCGGAGGGGAGCTCAGAGCCACGGGCGGACGAGGCGGCAGCCCGGCGGCCGCCACCACGGTGCTGCAGCTCCGCCAGGGCGGCCCCTCGTGCCAGGAGCGAAGGAAGGACGTGCACGTGCGTGAGCGCACGTTGGTGTCGAAAGTTCTGGGGTGGAAAAGAGGGGGGGATGACTAGGGGGGGGTGGACATCATGGCGGGGGCCATGATATTTCCCCAGATCTCATGGCGCCTCTTCTCGTTTCATTGCGTCCCTGGCCCCCCCGCTGGGCCGCGCACGTGCCCCCGGTCATGATTGGCACCCCCCCTCCTTGGACGCCCCCCCTCTTGGCCGCTCCCGACAAGTACGCACTTGTGCGCACGCTCGTGCGTCGGGGCTGGTCTCGCGGACCCGGGGGCCGTGCTCCTGTGCGTGGTTGGGCTCGTGCGTCCTGGGCGGGCTCTCCCCGCTGTGCAGGGTGTGAGATAGGGTGGGCCCTGGAAACGCCAGGGCCGTTTTTCACCGGTTCCGTTTTGCCGTTTTTGTTGCCGGTTCCGACGCCGCTTTTTGACCGGTTCCGGCTCTTGTTCCAATCCTGGAGCCGTTTTTTGCCGTTTCCGGTCGCCGTTTTTTTGCCGTTTCCATTTTCAAGGGATTTGTTTTGGGAAACGGTGAAAAAACGGCCCTGCCGTTTCCGGGGCCCATAAAGGTGCATGCCTCTGCTTGGATCCGATGCCGGTACCCGGAGACCCAGGCCCGCCTTCGGGACGATCGAAGTGGACACGGAAAGAATGGGCACCAACCAGGAGGGAAAAAAACACACAGACACAATTAATCGTCGACTCCCCAGGAAAATATAGGAAATATGGGAAGTAGGGGGGAAGACAAAAAAACGAAAATATTGGAAAATATGGGGAATCCTGTTATTTGTGTGTATTTATTTGTGTGTCCTGGGGCCCCTACAACCAAGGCCGCCTGCATTTCTCTTCGAGAAAAGATTTGGTAACCTTCATAACACGATGAAGACGTGGCCTCACATAGGTCCCTGTCTGCGCATCGGGTATCATGCATCTGGGCGGTTTGGTCCTATACACCTTGTCTAAAGACACCCTATCCCTAATGTTCTTGGCCCTCCTAACTTGGGTCCCCTCCCACAGGGTCAGGGGTACAGGGCCGACAGCATTTCCGGATCAGCTTGAACAGGATTCGCTGTCGGTGCCGCTGCGGGCCTTGTCCAGTTGAGACGCAAGGCCGCCTGCCCAACAGCGGCCGCCGCCGGCTTTGGACAACGTTTGTTGTTGGGCAGGGCTGGACCTGAACGCTGGTTTGCGGGTCTTCGGCTGCATCTTGTTTTTCGGGATGGGAGGGAGGTACAGGAAAAGAGGCAGAGCGAAACGACTCACAACACGGAAAAACAGCGTCTAGGTCCAGCCCTGCTGCTGGGCATCCTGCCCACTTCGTTCGTGACCGGCTCGTGCGTCCAGACGCCCTGCCTGGCCAGTCCTCGGGCCGCCTGGGGCCTCGAAGATACATCGGTTCCACCAGGCGGCGGCGAGGCCATGGGGGAAGTCAGGAGGGGCGGGGGAGGAGGAGGAGGAGGAGGAGGAGAAGGACGAGGAGGAGAGGGAGGAGGAGGAGGAGGAGGAGGAGGAGGAGGAGAAGGGGGAGGAGGAGGAGGAGGAGGAGGAGGAGGAGGAGGAGGAGGAGGAGGAGCTCTTTGAGCCTTCAGAGGAGACACACACACAAAGACACACAAGGCTTCTCAGGAGGCCCGAGGGCCTCCGAGACGCCCCACCGCCTCCTGCTCCTGCTCCTCCGCACTTGGCCAGCGGGCGCGCCGCCGAACCCGGGGGGTGGATCTCCTGGCGCCGGCGCCGCCACGTCGCAGTCCGCTGGAGCACGGGAGGGAGGAGGACGCGGGTTCGAAAGGTCGGGTCGGAAGAAGAGGGGGGAACAAGTGTGAGAATCGATGGTGATAGAACATTGTGATAAATTATCCCAGTGCGACCCTACCTAGGAGTTGGAGCATTCAGGAAAGCAACAGCTAAGCTAAGCTAAGCTAAGCTAAGATGGGGTAAGCTAAGCTAAGCTAAGCTAAGCTAAGCTAAGCTAAGCTAAGAAGCGAAGCGAAGCGAAGCTAAGCTAAGCTAAGCGAAGCGAAGCGAAGCTAAGCTAAGCTAAGCTAAGCTAAGCTAAGCTAAGCTAAGCTAAGCTAAGCTGGGCTAGGCAAAGCTAAGCTAAGCTAAGCTGAGCTGAGCTAAGCTAAGCTAAGCTAGGCTAGGCTAGGCAGCTAAGCTAAGCTAAGCTAAGCTAAGCTAAGCTAAGCTAAGCTAAGCTAAGCTAAGCTAAGCTAAGCTAAGCTAAGCTAAGCTAAGGCTAAGCTAAGCTAAGCTAAGCTAAAGCTAAGCGAAGCTAAGCTCAGGGTTAAGTAAGCTAAGCTAAGCTAAGCTAAGCTAAGGCTAAGCTGCAGCTAAGCTAAGCTAAGCTAAGCTGCTAGCTAAGAGCTAAGCTAAGCTAAGCTAAGGCTAGGCTAGGCAAAAAGCTAAGCTAAGCTAAGCTAAGCTAAGCTAAGCTAAGCTAAGCTAAGCTAAGCTAAGCTAAGCTAAGCTAAGCTAAGCTAAGCTAAGCTAAGCTAAGCTAAGCTAAGCTAAGCTAAGCTAAGCTAAGCTAAGCTAAGCTAAGCTAAGCTAAGCTAAGCTAAGCTAAGCTAAGCTAAGCTAAGCTAAGGCTAAGCGAAGCTAAGCTCAGGGTAAGTTAAGCTAAGCTAAGCTAGGCAAAGCTAAGCTAAGCTAAGCTGAGCTGAGCTAAGCTAAGCTAAGCTAGGCTAGGCTAGGCAAAGCTAAGCTAAGCTAAGCTAAGCTAAGCTAAGCTAAGCTAAGCTAAGCTAAGCTAAGCTAAGCTAAGCTAAGCTAAGCTAAGCTAAGCTAAGCTAAGCTAAGCTAAGCTAAGCTAAGCTAAGCTAAGCTAAGCTAAGCTAAGCTAAGCTAAAGCTAAGCGAAGCTAAGCTCAGGGTAAGTTAAGCTAAGCTAAGCTCGGGGAACCCAGGGGGCGCAACTGGGGGAACCAGGGGGGCGCAACTGGGGGAACCGCCCGGGGTGGGTAGCATTGCCCGCCCCCTTTAGCAAAGAAAGTAAGAACCCTTCTAGGCAGAGCCTAGGTAGGGAACAAAAACTCCGAAGCAGTGTGATAAAACACGAATGTGCTACAAAAACCAAGTGTGATAAAACACAAGTGTTTTTTTTTACCACAGTGTTAGCACCACGGTTTTTGTATCACAACTCTTGGGTGGGGAGTGGGGCGCTGGAGAGGAGGAGGAGGAGGAGGACGAGGAGGAGGAGGAGGAGGAGGCGGAGCAGGAGGAGGAGGAGGAACAGGCATCACACCCAATGTTAGTCTAACGTTACGAAAGGAGGAGGAGGAAGTGTAGGAGGAGGAGGAGAAAGAAGAAGGAGGAGGAGGAGGAGGAAGGAGCGGAAAGGCCGAGGAGTCTGGCCAGCTCCCGGCAGCGCTGGGCAGTGTGCCAGAACGGCGCGGGACAGTGTTGCCTCTGTCGGTGTCCTCGTTGTGAGAGAGGGCGAATACTCACGACGCAAGGTTGCCGCTAATCGGAGGAGGAAATGGTACCCATGCCGCTATACCCTATCCTCGGCTCCTTCTTTGGGGGGACTCTTGGGAGACCCTCGTCGCCACCGCTTCATTCAGAGCGTGAATTATCTACCCCGCTTTCGCTTCCAGGCAAAACCATGTCATACCACGCGCCTCCTCGTCAAGCGGCCTGACCAGTACAGGCCGTAGTTTGGCATCGTTTGGTATCTCTTGGAAGCGAGGGTGGTCAAAAGCGAGGCAGGTTTGTTTGCCCCCTATTGACACACATCATCTCAGGGGAAAAAAACCTACCTCGCTTTTGACCACCCTCGCTTCCAAGAGATACCAAACGATGCCAAATTGCGGCCTGCACTGGTCAGGCCGCTTGACGAGGAGGCGCGTGGTATGGTTTGGTTTTGCCTGGAAGCGAAAGCGGGGGAGGTAATTCACGCTCTGATCATCGGAGGGGGCTGCTTTGGGGCGAGCTCTGAGGGGGCGAGGGGGGCTCGGTGCTGTTCCAGGGTGTCAGGGCGTGTCCCATCTCCTGATCATCGCCTCATCTCCACCTCATTTTTCCTAGACGTACGTTCTTTTGCCTAGGCCTAGGCGAGCATGCTGACGGCCATGATTCTGATGTGATGATGCTGTTGCGGTTGGCATTGCCTTGGCGGCCTCGTCCAAGAAACAGCTTCTGCAGTAAATGATTGAGCAGGCGGCCACCCACTCCCTTTTCTTTTCCTTGCCTTCCATACTTCCCAGCCCTTCCTGCACATGAGCAGGAGTCCCAACTCATCGCGCAGTTTCCCGCTCCACCTCTTCCTTGCGAGCCCGCATGGGCACTGCCCCAGGTGTGGTCGCATTGCCCATTACTGTGTAAGCTGAGTGTTCTCCCTTTTACTTGTCGCAATTGATGTTCTCCTCGTTTCCCTGGACTCAGGTTACGTATCGCGAGGGCAGGGGCTGCCCGTCAATCTTCGCCGTTGGTGCCCGTTGGTCATCGTCGTCGCCAGTGTCGCCTCCCCCCTTCCTTCAGGTTTGTCATCGTGCCGATCAATGAGCTGAACTTGCATTGGTGCGGGATTTGGGGATCGGGTTTGCCCTGGTGTAGGACCGGGGCAGTGCAGAGGTCTGGGGAGGGGACGGGAGCGGCGGGGAGAGGAGGGAAGATAGGAGAGGCGGGGGAGGAAGAGGAGCACGAACGAACGAACACTTCTTCGGACAACCGTTCAGGTCTAATTCAGACCAGCCGGCTCGAGGAACCCCTGGCCGCCCCTACAGACGAACTTCGTAGGATCGTTGCCGAGCTCAAACAGCCACCCGGGGACCCAGGACAAAGTGGAGACCGTGTACCATGAGAGGGAAGGCTTAGAGGACCCAGACTACACAAACCTCCCCCAAACTGATAAATGTTAATTCCTTCGCCTTCCTCGTCGAACTCCCTCACGCGTGGCATCACTCAGCAACGCCCCGATGGAAAAACACAAAAACAAATCACAGTGGCGCCCAGGATGTGGCCGCACCAGCGGTGGCGCAGGGTGCCTACTTGGTGCATTCAAACATACCGACCCCTGTGGTGCCACCCAACACACGACCATGAAGCCCAGACATAAATTCTGACGCCGCGTGGTGAATAACTATACAAGCCAATTCTAACGCCCACTTCTGTAAGGTTCTCTAAGGAGCACGAATCTCCGCACAGGCCGTCTCGGACACCGAGTTTTACCAAAGGGCAACATCGGGTCATCTAAAGAAGGGCAAGCCACGGAGCCCGCCACATTCGGCTCAAATACCGACGCGCGTTGACCAAACGAGTCGCCAGTCTGCCCCCAGCATCCGCAGCTGACACCGAAGCCCCAGCTGGAACCGAAGCCCCCACGGAGAAAGAAGCCGAAGCCCCAACCGCATCATCGGCGTGTTGTTCCCGGGCAGGGTGTGCACGTGCACTCCCGCCCCCCAGCAATCCATATTGCGTGAGAGGATGGTCGACCCGAGCACCATCAAGAAGGCCCGGCCACAGCAGAAGTAGAAACAATGACCATATCCCTCCTCTTCAGCAGAGATGGGGGCACCCCGAACGCGGTAGGAGTTCGCCGCGTCCGCTGCCCTCATCCCCTCAACCCGAAAAAGCGCACCTCCAGGAAGCCCAAAACGCCGGGGATGAGCAGGACACGTTCTCCGACGAGCGGCCACGAGGAGGCCTGACCACCTGCTCGTCCTCTCCCTCCTCCCCGCCGTGGCCCCTCCCTCCTGAGCGGATGTGACCCGTCACTCCCGAAGGGCCGAGTCCGAACACCTCGCCTGGCTGGCCGGCGACGAGGAACTTCCGGAACAAAAATGAAGCAGTTGCGAAGCGTCCTGGCTCGCCTATAGCCCTACCAAACAATGTTCTAAGAACCCTTTGTGGCTTCCACGAAATGCTCTTAGAACTTTTCTGGCCGGGACTGCCTTGGTTTGACACCTCGGGGCAATGTTCTAAGAACACTGTTTTCGTTCTCAGACCCCCTCTGGGTTCTAGGAACACTTCGTGGTAGGATTACAGGAAGGCCGGGACGGCCGGCCCCTGCTCAGGCAAAGAAAACACGCTGCGACGCGCGGCCTCCCAACACGGCGGGTGGCGGCGGCGAGCGGCGGCGGCGGGCGGACGGCCATGCGCAGCGCTGCGGCGGCGGCGACGGCGACGACGAGCACGCCGCCGACGGCGGGGCGGTGCCTCCCTCTCGGCCCTCCCGCGGCCGTGGCCGGGGGCCCCGGTCGGGGGAGCGTAAGACCCGGGTTTGCCAGGGCTCGGGTTCGCCATCGTTTTTTGACGACCGCGCCTCGGATTTTGACGAGGAGGAGTTTCGTGGGATGTCTGCAGCGGGAGGCCTCGTCAAAATGTAGGTTCGGCCTCGTCATTTTTTTGACGACCTCGTCGGGGATTTCCGAGTCCCCTGTACCCAGGTCTTACGTCCCCCCGACCCGGGGCCGAGGGCAAGGGCCGAGGGGTGCGGGGCTTCTCGGAAGGCCTCCGCCCCTTCTGGGAGGTCTCCTGTGCCTCTGTCAGAACCTGGCATCGCTCGGACGTGTGCATTTTGTCCTCGGTGGGGGCCATCGGGAAGCATCCTGGATCATTTGGCGAAAAAGCCACGCGCGAAACCGAGCAAAGGCACAGGGAGTGGACGTCCGAGCGATGGCCAGCTCCTGTGTCTTTGTTAGAGAGCTTCTCAAGAGGCCGGGGGTCTCCCGAGCTGCTCTTAGAACATTTCTGGCTGGGCCTGCCTTGATTTAACACATCGGGTTTGTGTTCTAAGAATATTGTTTTTGTTCTTAGAACATTTTTGGGTTCTAAGGACATTGTAGGACTATAGGGATGCCGGGACGGTCGGTCCCTGCTCAACCCGGGTCGCGCCGCCGAGAAGCGGCGGCGGCGGTGAAGGCGGTCGCGAGGAGCGTGGCGTGGGCGCGGCGTCCGATGCGGGGATGTTTACATGACCCCCCCCAGAGTATCGACGTTCGGACGGAGACCTCGGCAGGCGTTGGGTATGGATCATCCTGGGCCCCATGAGGCCGAAGTATATCCATATCCACCAGCTGCTGGGGTCGCAAAACGTAGGTTCCACGGGCGGTGGATATGGACATATCCCCCGCCTCGCACGGCGGCTCTCCTGTCGGACGTGTGGGAGGCGGGGGAGTTGGCAACCTCCTCCAACAGGGGGGTGTTCGAGTTTCGATGTCCGATGTGCTGTCGGCCGCTTTCGTTTGTTCTCGGCGGGCCCCGGCAGCCCCCGAGTGCCCCCCAGCAGCTGCGCGCCGCCAACAGCGTTCCAAGTTGTGCCAGGACTGTCCCGAACGGCCGCCGGAGCCGCCAGAGACCCGAGGTTCACACGACGATCGTCGGTTCAAAAAACGGGTCCTGAGGGATTGGGTCCCAAGGACAGGAAGGGATCCAAGGGTGGATTTACAGTGTTTGAGGCACCTCGGCCTCAGGACCTCATCGCTCAGGGCCCCATTGTTTTGAACCATCGAGGCGAGGATTACCTGGGTCGGACGAACTGGCGGGATTTGGGACGGGGGAGGTGCAAAAATTGATGTTTCCAATTGTTTTTTTTGCCTCGCCGCCTGGCGCCATCCTCGACGCAGTAGCGCAGATTGGCGCCGTGAGGCGCTGGGAAAGCCTGTGTATGCGGCTGAGTCGCTGATCTCCTCTTTGGTACCCCCCTCTTGCCGGACCCGACCTTTAGCCTCGGCAAGGACAGGTTTTGGTATGTTCGGATGCTCGAGTGGTCGTGGATTTCGTCCTGCGTTGCGGAAGGCAGTTTGGAAGAGTCCAAGCTCGTGAGCGCTGCTGGCCAGATCCTCTCCCGATCGCTCGCGCTCCAGCTCCGCCGGGGAGTACCCGCCGGCTGTCGGCCTCGAGGCCCAGCGGGCCCGGGCCTCTCGGGAGGTGGCTCGCGGTGATCTGCCACCCGGGCCGCGTGCTGAGCTCGGTGCACGACAGCATGAAGCTGGCCCGCTCGCCCCGCGCCCCGCCCGCGGGCGGCGGGGGGGGGGGGAAGGAGCCGAGGCCCGAGCTCCTGCGCACGGGGGGGCCCAAATCGCGGGGAGCGCAGGAGGCCGGCGGATGCGGGTGGTTCTCGGGCCCACTGGGGGGGGGGGGGGGAGCGCCCACAGGTGCTCAACGGCATCTGCCCGGTGCTTTCTGGGGTCCTGTGTCGCAGCCTCCCCCGGCGGTGGATGTCGGTGTGTACTCTCCAGCCTCGGTGAGGACTACGGTGTTAGCCGGCGTGGGCCCCCAACAGTAATTGTTTCACTAGGGGAGTGGAAGCGATGTGGTGCGACCATGTCGTGTAATCTACGTGGCACGATCTATGTGGTGCAAGCTAGTTGGTGCTCGATGTGGTGCAATCTGAGTGGTGCCCACTGCGTGGAGTAAGTTTTTTGGTGGAAGCAGAGTGTTATAAGCTATGTGGTGCGAGCTACGTGGTGCAAGCTGTGTGATGTAAGCCCATGCTCCATGTTGCGCAATCTGCGTGGTGCACTCCACCCCTAGCGGTGCAACACACGTGGCGCAGTCTGCGCGAGGCGGCGCAGTCTGTGCGCGGTGCCCGCTGCTCGGCGCGAGCTGTGTGGGGCCGGCCGCGCGTGGTGCGAACCGCGCGTGGCGCACGCCGCGCGTGGTGCACGCCGTGCTGTGCCACCGTGCGCGGTGCAGCCTGCACGGTGCAGGCCGCCGGGGCGCCCAGGAGGCGCCCGCGCGGTGGCCACGAGGCGAGGCCTCGTGGCCACGCCCCACGCCCCACGCTTGAGGAGGAGGAGGAGGAGGTGGAGGAGGAGGAGGGAGAGGAGTGAGGAGGAGGAGGTGGAGGAGGAGGAGGAGGAGGGAGAGGTGAGGAGGAGGAGAGGAGGAGGCGGAGGAGGAGGAGGAGGGGAGGAGGAGAGGAGGAGGAGGAGGATGAGGATGAGTGTGCGCGGTGCGTCCGGCACGCTGCAGGCCTGCCGCGCCCACCGCGGCCCCGCGCGGCGCCGCGGGCGAGGCCTCGTGGCGCACGCCCCGCGCCTCCGGCGCGGGGGGAGCCCACGGGCAGCCACCGGGGGGGGGGGGCCCCGCGGGCGGGCACGGCGAAGGGCGCGCCTCGGCCGTGCCCTCGGCCGCAGCTTCTGCGGCCTCGGGGGGGGGGGGGGCGGGGGGCCACCCGGGCCCCGCGGCCGCCCGGCCGCCCGCCGCGCGCTGCGCGGGCCGCGGGGCGGCCTCCCTGTCTGGCCTCGGTGCTCGGCATCGCTCGGACGTGGGCATTTTGCCTTCGGCGGGGGCCATCGAGGAGCATCCTTTGATCATTTTGCGAAAAAAATCAGCGCACGACACCGAACAAAAACACGGGGAATGGACGTCCGAGCGATGGCCTTTGTGGGCCTCCAGGGGCTTCTGTAGGGGAACGAAGAATGACATACACATAAAAACTCGGAGGTCCGCGCGGATTTCTCGGATCCGCGCTGGACCCCCCTGTTGGGCGCCTCCGGCGCCGCCCCTGGCGCGCGGAGCGCGCCAGGGAGGGGGTCCAGCGCGGATCCGAGAAACCCGCGTGGACCTCCGAGTTTTTATGTTTATGTCATTTTTCGTTCCCCTATTCTGGGGGGGACCTCCGAGGCAACGGAGAAGGCTTGGGGTTCGCCAGAGGCGCCCTCCCCCCCTCCCCGGGAGGAGGAGGAGGAGGAGGAGGAGGAGGGGGGGAGAGGGCCTCGACGTTCTTGAGGTGTCAGTGTGATCCTGCAGTGTCTCGGCGGGCGCAGCGGTAGGCGTCTTCTTGCGCACCCCGAACTGTCTGAATTAGCGGTCTCGCTCGCTCGTCTCGCCCGTCGAGGCTCCACAAGCCGTTCAGCAACATCCAGTGATTCTCGACTTCCTTTGCCTCCAAGGGCTTACGGCAGGTGCGCGCCGTGTCGACCCAGCGGCGACCCCAGCGCGGGCGTTCAAGATTGAAGACCGCCACTGGTTTGGGATCGGTTAACATCGAACGCCCGCGCTATCATATAGCAGCGATCGTTCAAGGTTCCACGCGGTGTCAGAATTGAAATTATCCTGGCGAAGGACCAACCATTTGCAGTTGTGAATACATCGTTGTGGTGGGCACTGCTTTCGATTAAGCTCCAAATGTGAGACCACGAAGCGTGTGAGTGGTGGGCCGAAATGGGTGACGGGGACGCATGCGCACGGCACCACTTGGGCCTTAGATGGGGCCCCCCATTGGGGCCACGAAACATGTCAAGGGTGTGCCAAAATTGGTGGCGGGGACGCATGCGAACGGCACCACTTGAGCCTTAGTTGGAGCTCCTATGGGGCCACGAAGCATGTGACGGGTGTGCAGAAATGGATGTCGAGGACGCATGCGAACGGGCCACAAAGCGTGTGAGGGATGTGCCGACATGGGAGGCAGGGACGCACGCCAACGGCACGAATTTGGCCTTTCTTTGACCCCTTTGTGGGACAGCGAAATGTGTGAGGGGTGTGCAGACACCGGTGGCGGGGGTGGAACCCCGTATGGGGCCAGAGCAAGTGTGAGGGGTGTGCCGACATGGTGGCGGGAACGCACGCGAACGGCACCATTTGGACCTGGTGTGGCTCCTTGCGGGTCCACGAATTGTGTGAGGGGGATGTGCCGAAATCTGTGGCGAGGACGCATGCGAAAGGCACACTTTGGGCCCGAGGTGGAGCGCCTTATGGGGCCACGAAATGTGTGAGGGGTGTGCCTGGCGGGGACGCATGCGAACGGCACGACTTCGGCATTGGGTGAGGCTCCCTATGGGGGCATGGAACGTGTAAGAGGTGTGCCGACATTGGTGGTCTGGACGCATGCGAGCGGTATAACGTGAGCCGTCCTTGGCGCTCCCTTGTGGGACCTCGAAATATGTGAGGTGTGTGCGGGCAAGGGTGGCGGAGGCGCATGCAAGCGGCACCATTGGGGCTCTGGGTTGAGCTCACTATGGGGCCACGAAGCGTGTGAGAGGTGTGCCGGAATGTGTGGTGGGGACGCATGCGGGTTGCACCACTGGGGCCCTCAGTGGAGCGCCCTATGGGGCCGCGAAGTGCGTGAGGGGTGTGCCAGCGATCATGATGACGATGATGGTAATGATGACGTGACATGGATGAGTAGGTTGTGATGTTGATGTTGACGATGCGGACGATGTCAGAGGAGGAGGGAGGGGGAGGAGGAGAGGAGAAACGAGGGAGAGGAGAGGAGAGGATTCTGGAGGAGGGAGGAAGGGGAGGAGGAGGAGGAGGAGGAGGAGTAGGAGGAGGAGGAGGAGGAGGAACGCGGGGCGCTGTCTCTTCAAAACGAGGACCCAGTCCCACAGAATGGTTGGGCAAATCGCACGAGTCGTCACGGCACGAACCTGCCACACGCCATTCCGCTCGGTGGCCACGGCGGTATCGATGTTGGGACCACCGTGGGGCCGTTTAAAGGACGTGGGGGGCTTTGCACGACGGGGTTAATGCAGGCGTAAGTCAGAGGATGCTTTTCCTACCCAGTTCTGGCTTCCAAGTGACACCAAGTCATACCATGAATCTTTAGTTCGGCAGCACCCACGTCAGCCTCCCCCCCGCCGCATCACACTGCCAAGCCACTGAATTCCCAGTGCAAAGTGACGTTGGGCATCGTACTAGTAAATCTGGGTACCATGTCGGCAATTGTGGGTAGTGCTGGAATGTGTTGGAATCGTGTTGTAATAGTGCGGGTCAGCACTGGGAACACTTGGTATTCTATTGAGCGCGCTTGATATCATAACACGTTCGGTGCTTGTATTCGTATGACACGCAAGTGGGCCAGGCCGAAATGCATTTGGCATCATATCAGAAGCCTTTGGCATTACACCAATTATGTCCAGTATTGTGCAAATGCGTCGTCTGGCACTACACATGGCCTCGATCATGGATATGATTTGTGAGTTTGGGGCTCGGCAGTGCGAAGGGGCGGCAGACTCGCTAGAGTCTGTGACATATTGTTTGCTAGCGCACGAGGTCAAGGTCCCTTTCACGTCCCATTCAAGCAAGCTGATATTAGTGGAACGAAGAATGGCAGAAATATCAAAACTCGGAGGCCCGCGCGGATTTCTCGGTTCCGCGCTGGACCCCCCTTTTGGCGCGCGGAGCGCGCCAGGGGCGGCGCCGGAGACGCCGCCAGGGGGCCCCAGCGCGGATCCGAGAAGTCCGCGCGGACCTCCGAGATTTTTATGTGTATGTCATTCTTCGTTCCCCTAGATATTGTTTGATTCTCGTTTGTAAGCGAGGGTGGCCAAAGTCGAGGTATTCTGTGCCGCCTTTCAGTCTTGCGTTGCAGCTCCCCGATCGAGGATCGAAGTCCCGTGAAACGAGGCTCAAAGATCGCTATCTTATAGTATCTTGTCTTGCCGTCTGTGCTCGATCACAGACCCCTGATCCTCGATTACTGAGGATCAGCACCCTCTCGGGAGTCAAGTGGAGCTCTCTTGAGCCGTTATCGGGTCCCCTGTGGCCCTCACGAGGCCACCTCGGGCGTCTCGGTCTGTCTCGGAGGTCTCCAGGGCCGTCTTGGAGCCATCTTGGGCGTTGGTGCCTCACTGGCTTCGGTCCCTGATGCATCCATTTGCGGAGTTGCGCCGGCCTCGATTCTTTTTTGCGTTGGGTTTCCATACGTAGTGCGTGCCGAAGTTTCTCGATTTTTCGAGTGCGCGAGGTCTGTTTTTCAGTGAGCCTGGCACCCTCCAAAGGCTCGCATCCGTGGATGCTTACGCTTCTGGTGCTACCGCCTTGTGGATTCGAGCAAGCACCACGCCACTGCGAAATAAAACATGTTTTGAGGAGTAGTGACGGACAAGACGATCTGGGAATCCGCGCTCGTGGAGCATCCGAGGCAGATGTCCCAAGTCGAGTTCCGTACGTTTCTGTTGAATGTTTTCCGGATCATTTGGTCGTTGCGCTCTCCTTCTCGTTTCTCCCTCCAGGATGAATCCTTCGTCGAAGGGCAGCCTTGGACGCCAGTGCGGAGGCATATCTAGCAACACCGGACCCTGTTGGGCGTCTTGCAGGAGATCTCGGGGCTGGCGCCTCTTTGGAGAGCCTTCGAGTCGCCTGCAGGCATCCAGTGGCCGTCTTATCAAGGCGTTGTTTGGTATACACATCATATATAGGTGGTTGTATATATACATATACATATGTATATATATAGATATGTATATGTATATATTTATATGTCACGGACCCTCAAATCAAAGTGGTTTTGGGCTTTACAGCCATTTCCTGGGAGCGGGCTTGCAATAGGGGATATCTTGGTGTTCTTGGAGCCACAACATGGTTTCCAGTTAATGAAGATTGTGAGCAGAAGCCGTCGTGGTTTCGTTCACGACATTGAGGCCTCGGTCCCCTCCTTCAAAGAGCATCTCCTGGGCACTGTGCCTGTCAGAACTCCGATGCGGATCTCTAAGCGGCAGGTCTTGGAGAAGCTTGCCGCCCAGAGAACCAGAGTAACTGCAATTGTTTCCATACGGAGCCTTCGGAAGTCTTGACACCCTGCCTAGGGCCAGCTCTTTCGTCTCGAGTCGTTCTCTGAGGGTCCTGGGGTTCTGACGAGGGCCCCGGTTAATAACGGCGAGACAAACACATCAGTTTTGTTTTTGTTCGAGTTTCCTTCCCCAGACGTTTAAGCTCAGAGAAAGGAGAACTCGCAGATCCCCCCATAACGTTATCTAGACACACGCATACACACCCATCGAGGATTCGTGTGGTAGGCATTTCGAGTAAGAAGCTAGCCCGCCAGCAGGTGCATCACATAAGTTTCGTACATCCCACAGAACCTTAGGGACCAGCGAAGGAAGGTTAAGGCTTTTCAGGAAGGCTGAGCATGGACGACGATCGGGCCTCTGGACTTCTGATGGCAAGCTTCATATCGCATGCGCCCTCTGCACGTCTCCGAGTTGGGCCCCGAATGCTTTGTAAGTCGACAGCGCCACTGACTGTGTAAAACCTGCCTGATCATAAACGTTCGCACGCCCGCGTGGGTTTCTAGGATCTGCTCGGGACCCCCGAGCGGCCTCCCGTGCCGCTTCTGGCGCGCGCGCGCCAGGGACGGGGGGCCTCAGCGCTGGTTCCAGACTTCGCGTTGTCCTTCGCAAGCTCACTGCGACGGCCTCGCGGCTGGTGCCGCCGACCTTGTTCGTTAGGACGATACGGAGGAACAGAAGGAGGAGGAGGAGGAGGAGGAGGAGGAGGAGGAGGAATGGGAGGAGGAGGAGGAGGAGGAGGAGGATGAGATGAGATGAGATGAGATGAGATGAGATGAGATGAGATGAGACGACTCCCAGGAAGCCAGTCTAAGGAGGGAGGGGCCAGCCCAGTACAAAAATGGGGGCAGGGTGCACCATCAGGGGGAGATTTTGAGAGGACGAGAGTCGGGAGGGGGAGGGGGAGGGGGAGGAGGAGGAGGAGGCGAGGGGCAAGGGGGAGAGCGGGGACGGCGTCGACAACCACGACAACGAGGACCCAGACGGAAAGGCGTCAGTGGGGAGGCATCGAATCCGCTTGGGCCCTCGACGGCCTTGTTCACACCAGAGGCCCCTCTTCTTCTCCTGGCCGGTTTGGTGCCTCGGGGCCGACGCCTCTGCACCCCGCCGCCTGGCCTCTACGCGCGCCCCGAGGCCACCCTGGGGGAGGCGCCGCGCATCGTGTGCGGCCGCCTCGGCCTTCCCGCGGCCCCGAGGCCCCCGCAGTCGGGCGACGGCGGCCTGCGGCTCCGGGGCCCCTCCCAGTGCGATCGGTCGGGTGCGATACCCCTCCTCCTCCTCCTCTTCCTCCTCCTCCTCCTCCTCCTCCTCCTCCTCCTCCTCCTCCTCCTCCTCCTCCCTCCCCCTCCTCCCTCTCCCCCTCCTCCTCCCCTCCCCCTCCTTCCTCCCTCCCCCTCTCCTCCCCCTCCTCCCCCTTCTCCTCCCCCTTCTCCCCTTCTCCTCCTCCTCCTCCTGCTCCATTCCTTTCCCTTCCCCTCCTACGCCTCCTCCTCTCCTCCTCCTCCTCCTCCTCCTCCTCCTCCTCCTCCTCTTCATATTCATCTTCCCTCCATCCCTCCTTCCCTTGCTTCCCTCCTTCCCTCCCTTCCTCTTCGCTCTTCCCTCCGGCCAGCCCGATCCCCGAGTCCAATTGTGAGACGGTACGATGCGCCCCCGAAACTTGCATGGCGCCGTGGTGCTACCCGGCTCGGCCAGTCCGACTCGGCGCCGGCTCCGTGCCGATGCGGTCCGATCCGATGCGCATTCGGATTCGGATCCGAACCAATTTCCAGATTTGATGGTGATTGATCCGAGATTGCATTTTTTCTACGGTTTCCGCCCAGTGGACAGATCTCCCTGGATTTCGGGAGGCGGTGGATATGGATGCGCTCAAACGGCTTCCACCATTTCGCTGATTCCTGAAGGGTGGTATGTGAATGTGATCTTTGCCCGATTATGTAGCCCCAGCAGCCCATCCAGAAGTGATGCCCAGGCGATCAGTCGGGTGCAAGGAAGCAGATCAACATACAGTGAAGCAAGCAGGCTGGTACTGCTGAACAGAGAGACCTCTCGGACTTTGGGAGCCTCTTTGGGGGCCTCTCGGAGTTATCTTGAAGGTCTCTTGGAGTGGACTTCGGGAGATGGTTGATAAGGATATGTTTTGCCCCCCTCGCGGCCCAAACATATCAGTATCTGTCTACCGCCCACTCCCGCCCTTTCCCCCTCCTGCCCCCCTCCCCTCCCATCTTCCCAACCCCCCCGTCCTTCCCTCTTCCCCTCCCCTTCCCCCCGCATCCCCTCCCCTCCTTTCTCCTCTCCCCTCTTTCCCTCTTCCCCTTCCCTCCTCCCCCGCCTCCCTCAAGCCATTTGGGCTCGAGAAATGCGGTGGACCCAGCGCTTCAAACCGCCTTGTCGGGCCGATCCCAATACCTTCGCGCGGTGCTTGGGGGACTTCGGCCTCCGTTTGCATCCACGCAGCTTACGGGCCCGTCGACGAAAGTTGGGATTCAAGCCATGTCAGGACGACGCCCGTGGACTCGCTGCAAAGCCTGCGGCACGTGCGAATACAATCACAAGATAGATGCCAAGAGCTCGACCTGCCCCAGTTGCCATCGTCGGGTCAAACTCCACCGCCAAAGGTCTCGCTCGCCCTCGGTTACCTTCGGTGACACGGAGATCGTCGAGTTGGAGGACGCTGGAACCGCCACGTACTCCAGGAAGAGCAGCCTTCCTCCCAGGAAGAAGGCGACATTTGCAGATCATCTCCAGCTTGCACTAGAGCAGGCGACCGACCCCCAGCTCCAGGGAGTCCTCCAGGCGCAGATCACTAGGATCCCCGCCCAGAAGGAGGACACAGGCGGCAAGGGACAGGTCTCCACCGTGGAAGCCATGAAACAGGCCGACGGAGTATGGCGTGCCGCCGTCTATCGGCACAACCAGCTCGTCGCCAACGTGCTGCAGCTCAGGGAGAGCCTCCACGCGGCAGAGAGCAAGGAGGCAGAGGCGGCCTTGGCAGTTGCCGAGGCCGAGGCCGTCAAAAAGAAGGCAGCGACGGCTCTGGCCAAGGCGGAAGGCGTGGGCGCCGCCGCCGACGCCGCCAGCAAGGACCAGGCCACTGGTCCCACGCCTGTCTTCTCCGTGCAGTGGGACCCGCAGCTCTTCCAGGGCCTGGAGGAGCTCGAGTTCGAGGAGCACGAGAGGCAGGAGCTCACTCAAGTCCAGCGCGACTTGGAGGAGTTGAAGAAGACGCCCGACACGAAGGAACCGCAGGTCCAGGCGCTCACCATCCGCGCCCAGGCCGGGCGGAAGCAGCAGGAAGAGCGGCTCAGGAAGAAGAGGGAAGGGCACCGACAGCGCCGTGGCTCCAGCGGCGGCCCCACCGGCGCCAGATGGCGAGGCGAGGGGCGCCGCCGCTGCCGAGGCCAGCCAGGCCGCGGCCGCGGGCCAGGCTGAGGCTACTGAAGAGAAGGAAAAGGCTTTCCGAGGCCGCGCGACTTTCTGCTGCCAAGTTCGCGGCCCAGGCGGCTGCGACCAAGGCAGCGAAGGAGGGCGAGGGCAGCAACGTCGGCAAGCCTGGCAAGGGCAACCAGAACAAGGGCACAGGCGCAGGCACAGCTCCGCCAGCGCTAGGGACAGCCTTCGCCTGACAGGAGGCCGCGGCGCCGCCCGACAGCGGCCGCGGCGACGATCCCAGTGCCAGTGCCAGCTCCTTCATCTACAGCAACATCACGTGCATGGGCGATAAAGTGTGGGATTACCTGCTTGCACGCGACGGCGACTACTTCGGCCTCGCTGAGACGCATATTGGCCCAGCTGATGCGGGCAGGTGGACCGCCGAAGCTCGAGGCGAGAACCTTCGATGGTTTCGCAGTGCCGCTCGACCATCCAAGTCGACCAGCTCTGAAGGGAGGCTAGATTCACCATGGCCCGAGTCCGCAGGGCGCGCCGACGAGGGGGGGGAGTTGCTACTAGCTAGAGGACACCTTCAAGCCTACGTTCGTCACGAAGCAATGCAGACGTCGGCAGCTCGCTCCAGCCTTGACGGTTTCGTTCCGCGTGCTCTGCGTGTTCGGGGCTACTCACTCGTAGTTATCATATTTTACGGGTTCTGTTACATAGGCCTCGCAGGACCCAACCTAGTTCGATTTAGACGCCTCGGCAGCCTCCTGAGGGCCCCCCAGCTCCCGTGGTTGGCCACTGGGGATTGGAATGTCTCCCCCCCGAAAAAAAAACCTTCCAAGCATCGAGGTGTTTTCAGAGGAGCATGAGGTATGGGTATTGATAGTTTTTCAGATTTCCAGGTTTTCCAATTCTTCCGCGCGGGCTCCAGGGACGAGCGGTCGAGCGCATTCCGTCGCGCGGGTTCTTTGCGCGATGTTCGCGGTGCACTTTTCGCGCGTCGGAGCGCCCTCGAAGATTCCAAGCTGCACGCTGCGCTGCTCTTGTGGAGTCCGCGAGTCGCAGCTGCCGTGGCGCTGTTTTCGAGGCGGCCCCTTCGAGTGCTGTTCGCGGGCGCAACGCGCGGCGCGCACTGCGCCCAATCGCGCGCGGCGCGGCGCGTGAATCAGCCGGCCGCGCCCACCGCCTGGGCATTATTTCTGGATTGTAGAATGTGTCAGAAAACGCTTCCGCTTTGCGCTGCGCAAGCGGCCCTGGCATTTTTCAGAAAGGAGCCCGGGCATTTTCCAAACATTTTTTCCTCGAGCAAAATCTGAGGGGTGGAATGCGACCGCCGCGTTGGACATCTGAAGAATTCTGAAATCCGGAATTTTCCCAAATGGATTTCGGAAATTTTCAAAATCGAGCTCCGAATTTTTCACCAGCGATTCTGGTATTTTTCGAAAAGTGGACCAGATATGGTCAACAACGTTTTCGGATTTGTTCAATTTTACCCCCGGAGAATTTTCCGGAGTCGCGCGTGATTTGTCTTGCCAGGTCTTTGGAAATCCGCTGAGGCGCGCGGCGCGCGGCGGCGGGCGACGGGGCGGTGCGCCACCGCCCCCCCCCGCGCACGGTAACGAGGGTGACCTGCCAGCGGCGCCAGCCAGAGTAGACCATTTTCGACGCAAAGTGCACCCCGCGCGAAGGCTGTTAGAAGTCCCGGAATCTCCGGAACGTATCAATAGCACGTTGTGTCAACAGATTCTTCTCGTCCTATGTTTGACGGAGGTCGGGCGTCAGGTCCAACGCGCCGACGTCGAATGCATCTGCGACCCGGGCGGGGGCAAGAATACCTCTCGCTTGGATTATCTAGTTCGCAGTAACGCGGCCCAGCCATACATGCGCAGTGTAGAGCCGCTGCACGACGTTCCGTGGAAGCCGCTCATCGCACATCTCACGCGTTTTGTTTCACCTGGCGAGCAGCTCCCCACCATGATCGTGGAGCTCCCTCGCCGTCTCCTATGTGTAGCCCGGCCCGCGAAAGCCCCTACTTCTGGATCCAGATCCAGCCAGGCCCATGCCCAACGGGCTGAGAAGGCCTCCAGGTGGCGGGGGCTTCGGGACAAAACTCATCAAGCCGTTTGTGGCGACCTGGGAGGGAGAGGCCGAAGACCGCGGAGCTTCCGCCCGTGCTGGCGAATCGTCGGGCGACGAACCTTCTCCACCCGATATCGAGTCCGAGGAGGGCGCTCCTTGGGCCAGCGAAACGGTCTTTCCGACGGCGGCCACCAGCGCTGCAGCTTCTGTTGTGTCAGGTCCGAACGAGACGAGCAACGGAAAAAAGAGAGGCGCCCGTCGCATCGTCTGCAAATTCAGCCCAGCGTGAGAATTCCCCCGCGCCTGCCAGCGCCCAGGGGTCGGAGCCCGTGCCAGCCAGCATTTCGTCAGATCCGAGTAAGACGAAATCGGATGCGCCTGAATGCCGACCTGAACGCCAGCAGTCTAGCCCTGGCAGACAGCAGCCGACGTGCGAAGTGCCCCTTGGCCTGTGGCGTACCCAGCGGGAAGAAATGGGGGAGCTGAATCCCGACTGCTGCTGCCCCGCTACTGTTGTTGCGCAGTCCGTTCCATTTTGGCTCGAGCCTGACACCTCCACTGACCTTGGCCAGCTGTGCGGTTCTTGGGTTGCCGCTGTGGAAGCCGCCATGCACAGCCATCATCAACGGGCTCATCTCGGGGGCTCCAGATCACAGGGCCCTGAGTTTCGAGTCGTGACTGTGCGAGAAGCTCAGACCAAGCGAGCCACCGCACCGCGCTTCGGGATACGGGGAGCTCCTGGTGGACACGACTCCACGCGACGTTGCAGCACATCTATCGGCATCGGGCGCGCGGCAACGGACAACTCCAATTTCGCCAACTGCACGAAGCCATCGACCGCCAGCAGCAGGAGGCGCCAGCAGGCGCCGCCACCGTCATTCGATGAGACAAGGACGGCCTCACCTGGACACAATGGTTGGCCATGCTCGCAGATGCTCACGCCGCCCCCGTCGTGGAGCCGGTGGGCCGAGCAGCTGCAGCAGGCTTGCTGGCCAAAAGGGCCCAGCGTCGCAAATTTATCGCGAGTGGGCGGTGATGGCGCCAGCCTTGAGCGTCGTGCACCACTCGCTCAAATCTCAACCCTGGCGGCAGAATCTCAGCTTGTCGGGGCCACGGCCTTGGTTCATCCCAAGGACCTGCTGGGCCATGAGGTCACCTGCTGGCGCGTGCCGGCGCGAGCTTTGGGCGCCCGAGGGGCGGGGCACCGCGGGGCTCGCGGACCTTTTCGACAGGGTCACGGAGAGGATCTGCGAACAGGGCCTCCCGCCCCTGGACGGAGCAGCTGTTCGACGAGCTCTTCGACGCCAGATGGCCGCCGCGGGCCTCGGCGTCGATCGCGTCAGCCCCACGGACCTGCTAAGTCTCCCTGACGAGGCTTTAGAAGAGCTCGCCAGCATTTCCAACGTCATGGAAAGAGTGCAGATGTGGCCCCATTGCTCCTCCTCGCCATTGTCGTAGCGAGGGCCAAGAAGGACAACGGCGACCGCAGCATAGGCCTTTTGCCAGAGATCGCACGGCTGTGGTCTATGTGCCGCGAGGACGCACTACGCGCATGGAGCGAGGAGAGCGCGCGTCCCCACCATGGCATGCTGCCATCCGCGGCAATTCCGTCCTCCGCGAGGCCTACTAGAGGGCCTTCCAGTAAGAGATATCGGCACTCGTTCGAGCGCCTCAAGGGCACGGGCACTTGGACATATCGCAGTTCCACGACCCCATCGAGGCCCTGGTTTTCTCCGGCCTGTGCCCCTCGGTCCAGGGCCGAGATGCTGTCACCGAGCGCGTTCCACTACTCGCAAGTGCCGTGCCTACTCGCGAACGTCCGAAAACAAAAAAACACGTTCGCCTCGATGCAATTTATCGTAGATCCTACACAGCTGACCCAGGCCATTTGCGAGTTGTGACTTTGCGAGTAGTGGAACGCGCTCGTCTATGCTGGGGGGAGCCCACTCGCTGCCGAGGCTCGCCGCTCTATATAGGCCTGCTTCCCGGATGGGGTCCGAGCAGAGGGGGTCGGGGGATCGCACCGCATCGGCGATGCATCGACGTCGCGGCTCGAGGTGGAGGCCGTGCTTCCCCACGCCGACGTCGCCGATGCATCGCCGATGCGTTGCTGATGCGTCGCTGATGCGTCGCCGATGCGTCGCCGATGCATGGGCGATGCGGCGCGATCCTTCGACCCCCAACGGCTCGGACCCCATCTGGGAAGCCTCTCGCCGCCCTCTCGCCCCTCCTCTCTCGACTGCTCCTCCTGGCAGCGCGATGCCTGCACGCACCAGCGAGAGCCTGCACGGAGCCGGCCGCGGGGCATCGCAGGCTCGAGAGATCGCCGGTGGCCGCACCGGCCCCCCCCCCCCACCGGGTTGGGGCCCGAGGCCTCGACTCCGCGCAGGAGCCGCCCCCGAAGGGCACCGCCGTGCAGTTCCTGCGAGGCGCGCGCGGCGCCCCGTCTTCACTTGAGCGTGGCAAACAAAAACGGGGTCGTCTGCACCGACGGTCGCGCGCGTGTTGCCCTCGTCTTCAGTGCGGCGTGCGACGATGGCGGCCCGCGTAAGCCGCCGCGTAAGTTCGCTGCGCCACGATTCGTTTTTGGTCGTCGCTCCGCTGCCGTCTCGCGCCCCGCTCGGGGGCGACGCTGCGCATGGCTGTGAGGGTGGTGGCTCCTCCACTCGACGGCGACCCTGGGAAGTTCCGGGAGGTTCGGGCTCGAGGTTCGAGGTTTTGGGGCGTCGTCGGCGGTTCTCGGCGGTTTTCCGGCCTCGGGATGCGCTCCAGCAGCGGCGCCTCCCCGCCAGCGTTCCAGGGGTGCCTGGATCGTCCCGAAACGGCCACCAGCCGGCCGAGCTATGACCGAAAAACCACCAGGCGTCCGCGAGGGGGCGGGCCTGCTCGGAGGGCTCGGAAGGCCCCCGGCCTTCCGAGAAGTTCTGTGACTCTTCCCCGAAGACGCGGCAAACTTCTGAGACGGCGCGAGGGCTTTCGAGAAGCCCCGCCGCCTTCGGAGAGGGCCTCCCTCGCTCGCCGCCAAAGGGTGGTGCCTGCCTCCTCTACGGCCATCTTTTCTCTGCGTCGCGGGTCGGGGGATGAGCCGTTTGCCCCTCCGCAATGTCCTCCCTTCTGTAGGGGAAGGCTTGCGTGCTCGAGAAGTGAAGTGGCCTGTCGCGGGCAAACAAGTCAGAACACCGTCAGGAGGGGGAGGGGGTTCAGGCTCAGAGGGGGAAACGAAACCCATTCTAAGCAGAAGCTTTGGAGCTCCGCGCAGATCTTCCTAGATCTGTGCTAGAACGCCTCGGCGGCGCCAGCTCCTGGAGCGCTCCGCACGCCAGGCAGGGGGGGCTCAGCGCAGATCCAGTAAATCCGCGCGGACCTCTGGCAATTCATGCTCATGCCGCTTTTTCTTGCCCCAGCTAAGGGTGGGGCGAGGCCCCCAGAACCCCGATTAGTTACTTCCAGGGACGAGCCGAATATCAAACAACGGGCACGACTGGTGGCGACCGAGATGACACCCGCCCCGCGTAAGGTCGAGCTCGGACTGCTCGCCAGATGCGACTCGTGACCTCCTCTCTCCATCACTGCCGCCGTGAGACTCTTCGATGCGGGTCCCCAGGGAAGCGTGCCCCGGAGGTCGTTCGCTCTCCTCTGGCCCCTGGTCAGTATCGTTGAACCGATCCCCATCCCCATGCTCATGCCCTACGAGACCCCCACCAAATTATTACCCCCCCCCCCAGTTGGGGATACACCCCTCGAAACCCGAAGGGAACGGCCTATATCCCCATCTAGGCGTGTAAATCGGGAAATGGGGCCCAGTCCACGCTGGTGGGGAGGGGAATCGGTTAAGCGATGCTCATTCCTCTGGCCTATGGGGCCCCCGCGAGCTGACAAGAAACGACTCAGCATGGAACGCGGGCGTTGGGCAAAGCCATTGGGAAACACGAGCCCGTTTCCCTCGGAGGCCTGCGTCGGGTTCCGGAGCCGTCCCAAGCCGATTCGGACACTGTTAGCTGCTGCGAGTTATAACCACTGGGGAGGTCCCGCCAACCGCGGCGATATCACTAGTGTGTGATATGCTACATACTTACGCATGGTCGCTGCACATGGTCTGTGTGAGAGGTGCGCATGTGTATATACATTCGTAGTAGGTGCATTAACATACACATGTCTATGTAACGCTCGATATCTATAGTTGTGTATATAGATGTAATTAAGTGTGTACACGGCTCATGCCATACATGTTTGCATCTTACGCGTGTTACCTATGTGCGCTTGCGTTCAAGTTCGAGCCTGATTGATCCCAGGTGGTGATGTTGTTGTTGCTGCTGCTGTCGTTATTGTTGTTGTTATTGCTGTTGTCGTTGAAGTTCCGTCATAAGTAGTGCCATCGATGTGAGTTCTGGACGTTGGTTATGCATTCATGCTTCAATGCATGTTGTCGATGTTTTTTCATGATGCGTGTCAGCAGTGCGAGTTGTTGAAGTCTTGTTTTGAGTTGCATTGATGCTGTATGTGCAATATGTCTGGTTTGCCATATGCTGCTGATGTGATCGTGTGTGCGTGTGTTGTGTATGCGTCCAGCTTGCGCCTCCGTGATGCATGATGTTGGTACAGTTGATGTGTTCATTCTAGTCGTTTCAGATTTCGACTTACGTCCTTGACGCAGGCTCCTGATCTAAGATATGAACATCGGGTTCGGGTGTAGGCAGTCGATGTACGGTCTTGGTGCAAGTTGGTCATACATATTACGGGTGCTTGCCGTTGATGGTGTGTTCTAGTTCTAAGTGTATAGGCTCGTGGTTTGGATTATTGGTGCATGTGTGTGTTGCTTCCCCGCTGCGTGAGGGGGTGGTTGGTCCTGCACTTTGCCGCGTCTTGCCTCAACGCAGCTGCAAGTTTGGCATCGCTGGGGCTCGGTCTCGCCGACCTTTGGACTCTTGATGCCTTGGCCGCGGGAGATGCAACATGCCGATGTGTTTCAGGTTGTGTGTGCGTGTGTGTTGTCTAGACTCGATCCCCGTTCTTGATGAGTGCTTTCTGTTCATGGTATTGCTTGTTCTCGGCGCATGTTCTCGGTTTAATGTTATTGATGTTGAAGCGTGGGGAGGCTTCCCGTCGTTTCCGCCGTCCTGTCGCTCTTCTACTTCCTGCCCCCTCCAGGTGTGCTACACAACTGAGAGCTGCCATGCGCCTTCCCACCCCAGCGATGGCCCAGGATGGAGGGATCACCGAGGACATCATCCTTGGGCTGCACTTAAGAGAGACGTTTCGCTGGAGTCACCTTGGCGAGGGCCCAATGGGGCCCTCTGAATGCGATGCGATGGCAACGGCTTGCGCGCTTGGTGGCGTCACCAGAGGGCCCCCTCGTGGCCGCGCGCGAAAGGTCACAGTTGCCTAGGGTCACGCTTGCGTGTAGCCGAATCGTGGCATCGGGATGATCGAAATGGGTATGGAAAGAGTGGGTACGAAGACTAATAGCAGTTCCTGTACCTTTCCGATGTGCGTCGCCGCGGACGCCAGTTGGGACAAAGGCCCCCTGCCCAAGAGCGGCCGCTGTTGGTTTTGGACGATGTTTGTTGATCGGCATTGCATCCATGCAGTGGCGAAGCGTCCTGGCTTGCGACAGGTCCACCAACGAATCTCAGAAGAACCTGTTGTGATCTGCACGAAAGGTTCTTACGACATTGCTGGCTCAGACTTGCGTGTTTTAGCATATCGGGTCTAGTATCTGAGAACATGGGTTTGTGGTTGGATCATTCTGGGGTTTTAAGAGCATGTCGTGGTAGGTCCACAGGAATGCTGGGACGGTCGGTTCCTGCTCAGCATTGAGGAGAAGCAGAGCAGCACAGCCATGGAGCAAAAGGCGGCGGGGGCTACCAAGGAAGGACGTCCAGCTCTGCCCGCACCTCGAAGCTCGATCGAGGAGGGGCAGCTGAGGGAGGAGGGAGAGGAGGAAGCAGAGGAGGAGGAAGCGGTAGGGGAGGAGGGAGGGTAGGAGGAGGAGGAGGATGGGGGTGGGGAGGAGTAAGGAAGGAGGAGTGAGAGAAGGAGGAGGATAAGGCGGATGGGGGAGGGGGAGGAGATGGAGGAGATGGAGGAGGAGGAGGCGGAGGCGGAGGCGGAGGCGGAGTGGAGGGGCGGAAGGCGGGGAAGGAGAAGCGAGGCCAGGGGGAGGGGTGGGGTGTAGGGGCAGGGGGAGGGGGAGGGGGAGGGGGGGGGAGGAGGACAAGCTAGGTGCGCTCGCGTCATATCTGACGTCCTACCCCTCCCTCCCATCCCTTACCATGGCGCTGATTTTCTCTATCCGCGGACGCGTGTCGTAGCGGACCTGTGGCTCCGCGTGCGCGTGCGTAGTGGGTGGTAGTGCGCGTGCGTGCGTGCGTGCGTGTGTGCGTGGTTGTGGTTGTGGTGGTGGTGGTGGTGGTGGTGGTGGTGGTGGTGCTGTTGGTGGTTGTGATGGTGGTGGTGGTGGTGGGTGTGGTGCGGCGCGGTGGTGGCGGGCGGATGGGCGCGCGAGAAAGAGGCCCGCGCTGGGGCGAGAACGCCATCCTGAACGACGGAGGCAAAACACCGATCCGAAAATGAGGCCCACGCTGCAGCGGGAGCACGATTCGGAACGATTCGGGAGCAGAAATGAGGCCGGCGGCTCAGCGAGAGCAGCATGAACAACATGCAGGCGAAAGCCAGTTTCCCGGGAATCTTGTGTGTAAAAACAATACGCGGGGGGGGTCGGCCATCTTCGGGGCGCCATCAGGGGAAGTGGGAGAGTATTTACAGATTGTGCAATTGTGGAAGAGGAGGACGAGGAGGATTTTTTTAACATCAACAACTGCCAAGCCGTACTCTCTGGGGGGACGGCGCCTCCCCCCAGAGGAGGGGCAAGGCTGGGTGGCGCCTCATGCCACTTACGCCACCAGCCCTGCCCCGCCGCTGACGTCACGGCAACTGCGGGGGGACTCACGCCGAACGGCTGCCAGTCCCGCAGCGCCGTGGAAACAGCGGCGACCCCCACGCCCACACCCGCATTGGGGGGAGCGGGGGAAAACCATCTCAGCCTGCTGCGTTCGTTCCACGCTGATGGCAGAGCGAGCACACGGTTGGGCCGCAACACGACGCCAAAAGGGCTGGATGCTCCTCGACCCCCGCAAGGGGGACGAGACAAAACTAAAACACATCCCTAGAAAGGGAAAGCGCTCTGAGACCAATGATTTCGAACAATCCGTTCAAAAGTTGGGGACGGGCAAAGACGAGGGCGCAAGGGCGGGAAACGCCCCTGCTGGCAACTCTACAGGTCGGCCTACCCCCAGGTTCTTCCTTGGGTGGCGGCCTAGCATGACTTTGTTAAAATTCGTGCGGCCATGGCCGCGCAACTCGTTAGGACATTCCTTGGACAAAGCAGTCTTGACAAACACAGCTTGATGCATAAATCCCCCGCACTTGGGG